GTCCCACTGCGGCCCATGCTCTGCGGACTCGAGCCGTCATCAGCAGTGCCTTATCCCCCAGGCCCAGCTTAGCAACCCAGGGCTCAATGGCTTGCTCTGATGCCCAGAGGAAACGAAACTCTTGCAAACTTTCGACGCCCAACCGGAGCAGGGCTGTAATTACCCCATCATCCAACGAGAAGTTGTCACCCAACTTCCTTAGGATTTCCTCTGGGGAACCCTTTTCCAGTGGGACTTTATCAGTCTCCATGGCCTATTCTCGAGGACACCCCTCTAGCTAAGGCCCAGGGATCCCCTCCCTTTGACTGAAAACTGCGCCTCGGGTCTCCCTCGTGCGTTGTGCTGGAACAGCCTGGCGTGGCATGAAATAAATGGACCCTGACATACGCTGATGTGAAATCTGGGTATGTGTACAACGCACAGCTATGTTGCGACCTCCCATGACATCACCTTCATGCCGCCACAGAGCTATGGTACACTAGACTATCTGAGGTCCCCCTCCCAGATGGTCTTGTGTGTTGTCATGAAAGGAAAAACTTGAAAAACACAACGAAAGGACATGAGGGCACGGCACTTGCTCAGTGGGCACCCCACTGAAAGTCACCTGGCTCTACTATTTTCCTCTCGCGCATGATGTTATTGCTGGGGGCGGTCATGCAGGCTGGATTGAAGCTCTTATCCAAGCCCCGAGCTGATGAATTCGGCTCTCCATGGCCGGAACGGGCCAGTGCTGCTGATCAGCGCAAAGGCCAAAAATTCGGCTTGGGCATCTTAGGCAGGCGGCCACCATGACGCTGGCGCTCGACGGAGGCACTGGTCACACCAGGGGCGCTCCCATGCCAGAGCTTCAAAGACGTCCGTGGACATGTATGGGTTCACCAGGCGCTTCGCCTTCCCATCGGCCTGCTTGTGCTGACACAAGGTGATGCCGTCCTCGACCGTGACATGGGTGCTGGACCTCTCCGTAGCTGCATATCCCTGCGGCTCGGGGTGCTGTGTTCCCACCGCGGTGTCCTGGAAGGTCTTGTGCAGCCACTTCCGCATGCCTTGGTCGCGAATGACCTTGTTCAGCTCTGTATCCCTGCGGCTCTCCACGTAGTGGTTGGCATCCTCAATGGACTCGCCGGCCAGCAATGCACGGCAGAGGATGCCTAAGAAAGCACCCCGGTGTCGCCCCTTGATGCAGTGCACCACGACGTTGTCGCCGTGCCAAACAGTGTTCTTGACGGCCGGCCACACGTCTGTCCACTGTTCGTTGCGTTCCTGGCTGTATGCCGCCGCGAAGGTCATCAACTGAGCTCCCGGGAGGGTCACCCCCCCCCGGCTCTCAGGACCATTCGGGAAGCAGCAGATCTGCAACGCTGTCTTGGGGAACTTGTCCACCGTCTGCCTCATTGGAAGTCCTGCCAGGTAGATGCCACCACCCTTCCGGGATGTCCAGATGCAAGTCGGGGCCTGGGCTGTCCCTGAGCCCACACCCAACCGCTCCAAGTGGAGGTCCAAGGTGTCTCCTGCTGCCTTGCCACGGCCTTTCTTTGGCATGGCCTTGATCTGTGGCTTCCCAGGAGCGGCCAAGTGCTTCGGCGTTGTGGTTGTAGCCCTGGCCTTCGCAGCTGTGGCCGGTGGCTTAGGTGTAGTGGCTGCAGCCTTCGGAGGTGTCTTGGGGGCTGCAATGGCTGACGCCTTGGGCGGAGTCTTGGGTGCAGCCTGACCTCGGGCTTTCTTGACAGCTGCGCGCATCACCTCGGCCATCTCGTCGTCAGTGGCACCGCTCGCCGCGGTCCTCTTCCTGCCAAAAGTGGCCTTCTCCCCCACGGCTGCCGGCACCAAGGTGGCCGATGGCTTGGGTGCCGCTGGCACTGCTGTTGCGGCCAACACCGCCCGCTTGATGTTGCAGACGCCTGCACCGTGCTTGCCACCACATGCCCGTCCTGACTTTTGTAGAATGGCACACAAGTGCACTCCGAAGGGGCAGGAGTCTGCCGGATTCGGGCACTCGTCCTTCTGGAACTCCGGGCAAATGGCCTTGCCATTCTTCAAAGTGGCCGTCAGCACCTTGCCATTGAGTTGATCAGGCATCTGAGGTGCCGGTGCGGCTTCGGCCTCTTGCCGGGCTTGCTGTGCCGCTTCAACAAACTGCTGTGACAACTTGAGCCTCTTCTTCACGTCCTGGAAGCTATGTGCCGAGGCCCACATAGGTTGGCGGTCTTGTCGCAGCAACCTGTCAGCTTCAGTAAGGCCATGAGCTCGGGCTGCATCTAGCTCTGCCTGCGGGATCGCCTCCCACAGCAGGTGGCTAGCGAGCTTGGCCGTAGCGCCCCAGATCAGGGATTTCACCTTGACTGACGCGGCGTATTTTGCCGAAGAATAGTGAAATGCCATCGCCCCCACCTCTGGTTGCTCACTCTTGTTTTGCCAGTCGCCCAGGGCTGCCATTTCTTCAGGCCTGCATCCTAACAACTGGGCCACCGTGGGTGCAAGCCTCCTCCAGCTGTAGGTGGTCAGATCTTCTGGATTGTCGAGGAACACGGACATTTCCTGTTGCATCGTCTCTTGCACTTCTAGGATCGTCCATGGGCGCCCTTCGTCCGAAAAACAAAGGCCTGCAAGTCTCTGCCTTGCTGGTGCCAGCGTTCTGTATGCCTCCAGCACTTCCTTGGCCCAAAAGAAGCCGTTGGCGAATGTGGCCGGCACCGCAAAGTCGAAACCTTCGCGGGCATGCTTTTGTTTTCCCTTAGGGCACCTGCAATGGAGGAATGCAGCGGTGAGGCGCCGAGGTTCTGACCGCGCAATGTGCGCATACCTCAAACAGCCAAACGACATGATCCAAGGAGCCAGAAGGACTGACCACCTCTCATCGCCGACCGCGTGCAACTCCGTGATGCGGTCCTCCAAGGCCTGCACTAATGGCGGCTCCACCACCGGTGCTTGCCCACGCTGCCCAGTCGCCCTGGGTGTTGTAGGCACTTGCAAGTTTCCCAGCTCCATGTCTTGGTCGGCATTCTTGTTCATCCATTTCAAGGCTTGGAGTGCTCGTGCTGGCGCCTGGGTGTGGTTGAGGAACTGATCCAGGTCGACCATTCCAGGAGGAGCGGGTCGCCCCCGACTCTCCAAGAAGGCCCTCAGCTCCAACCAGGTGTTGACCACTCGGTCAATGGTCGCCTTCTCCGCGTCCTTCACCTTCTTCTCGGCGATCCTCTTGCACGTTTGTTTCCATTCGGCCTTGAGGGTGTCTGTCAAGATGCCAGCTGGTTTGTATGCGCCCATTCCGACAAACATCGACACCAAGCCGTTCACCCGCTTTTGGACGGCCTCATCCAGGTTCTTGGTGACGTTGACGGCCTTGGGCTTTTTCTTGTAGATTGTCTTGCGCACAGGGCGCAGAGTGACGGAACCCTTGGGGTTGTCCTCCACGACTTTGGCCCCAGCAGCAAGGAGGTGCTCTTCCACCCTTGCTCTTGTCTGCAGCCAGTCATCCGCTACGTGATGGCCAGCTAGTCCAACGACTTGATCGTAGTCGGTGTAGGCATAGGCGAAGTCGTTGTCGTCCAGGAGGCCTTCGTTCTCCCTCCATTGACGCGCACGCTGCGCAGCTATCATCATCAAGGAGTCGGCTGCTCTCCATCCCGGTTCAGGGTCACCCCCTGACGAGGACGAAGCTGCCGCTTGAGCTGCATAGTAGCCTTTGCCGCCTGATGCCATGGCGCTGCACCCTAACAAGGTTGCTAAGGTGCGGAGAGCAAAAAGATGCTGCGGAGACTTCAGAGGTGCCTCCTCTGTCATAAAATCAACCTGCAGCAAACATCTTCTTACGTCCTCCACAAGTGCTGCATGGCTCACGCCAGGTGAAGCAGTCACTACACATCCCGACGCAGCATGCCCAGCACACGCGCCTGGTGGGATCTCCGCACTCTGTGCAGGCGGTGCCCAGCTGAAGCATGCCTGCATCCTGGCATTCCAGCCATCCACATAGCGCTCGATGTGCCCTGGCGCCTTCTCTCCCCCAGGCCACCCAGGGTCGCCCCCTAGGCGCTCTGGGGAAATGCCGCGGCTCGAGGAAAACCGGTAGGAGCTCGTGAGGACCTGTGCATCTGAGCCAGCTCCGCCATTGATCGAACAGCTCCCCCAAGCCCAGTTGCCCAGCGTCGCCCGCTGAGCACCTGAGCTGCAGCCCGTAGAGATCCTGGGGCACGATGTCAGCGGCCACTTTGTGCTTCGCATAGGCAGCGACCAGCAGCAGGTCCATGGGGTCCTGGTGCTGGTAGTAGTACGCCCAAGCATCCGCAGGCGCCACATCATCGGGCAGCACAACGCCACGGCTGTTCCACAAGCCAAGCCACGGGAACTTGAACCCCCCCACATGAGCTGCGCAACGCTGGCAGTCATCAAGGCAACAGGGTAGCTTCGGCAGGGGGGGGAAAAGCTCTGAATCTGTCCCAGTCGTGATGACGTAGGGGGAATGCAACACTTCAATGCCATGCATCCAGCATGTGTATGCTGCAGCACCAGAGCCCTCCCGCGCCAGCCTTTCCACGTGGCCCTTGAACTCCAGGAAAGCAGCAGCATGAAGGATCTTCGCCTCAGTGGCTGCCGGGATATCGATTCCTGGGAGTTTGCGCTGCATACAAGGTCGCCCCTTGTATATAATTTGAACCACCCAATCAAGGTCTGGAAAGGTCACCCCTTACCAAGACCAAGAAAGAAAACAGCAATGAATGCTATTTTGGTTCAAGTTTACTTGAGCCAAAATGGTAGCATTCATTGAAAAACTTAAAGATGATACATGCACACCCAAGCCTGCCAAACTCAATGCATGGGTATATATTATACATACTGTGCATCTTATCTATGCCATAGTAATACTTGAAAAATCAATGTGCGTCGGTTTGTCTGGGCTCAGCTTGGAATCTTGGGATACCATCTGCAGCTGTGCCCGTTCAACTCCTCACGTTTGTTCAACCCCAGCAGCTCCGAAAAGCTCCGTCGCCCAGGTTTTGGACGTCGGTGAGGAGGCTGGCAAGCGCTCCAGGGAGACCAGCCTGAAGATCGTGGTACCCTCTGGTAATTTAACATAGCTATGGAAAATCACCATTTTTAATGGGAAAATCCACTATAAATGGCCATTTTCAATAGCTATGTTAGTTTACCAGAGGGTATATCGTGGTGACTGGATGTGACTGGGCGATAATCAGTGATGAATGGGGATCAATGGGGGTCAGGAATGGGAATATACCATCAAGAACGTACTGACTACGGCTTTTACGTACTCATACCTACTCCATGGCCACCTGTCGGGACTTCCGTGTTCACGTTTTGTGGGTCGCTTCAGGCCCAATGTGTGAAATTGTACCATCTCTCCCACTCACAATTCTCGGTGTTTTGGCGCCTTGCCAGTCCATGCCTGCGGAAACCTGCCAGTGTCAATGTCCGTTTATGGAATCTGCTACCAAGCTGTGCCGAGGCCTCACCCAAGAACTGAAATAGCAAAGCTCCCCATTTTTCTTGTCCCAAAAAGTTCTGCACGGGGGAGGTCCATAAATCGGGGGACTCAAAATGGATGCTTTATAATGGAAAACCCCATGAAAATGGATGATTTCGGAGTAGTCCCATTTTAGGAAACCCCCATATGTTTGTTTGCCAAAATAAAACATCTCCAAACTTTCGAAGCTGACTGCCTGAAGACACCCCGCCTGGCGCTGCAGAACAGCACATCACATCTTCGCAGCAACGGCTCCAAACCTGGTGCCGACTAGTCTCGGAACATTAGATGTTTGCACCATGTAGTGTAGAATGTAGAAAAACTATATATATAATTAACGACGACGACGACGACGGCGACAACGACAACAACAACAACAACAACAACAACAACAACAACAACAACACCAACAGCAGCAGCAGCAGCAACAGCAACAACAACAACAACAACCACCACATCCACAACCACAACCACAACAACCACAACACAACCACAACCACAACAACCACAACAACCACAACAACCACAACAACCACAACAACCACAACAACCACAACAACCACAACAACCACAACAACCACAACAATCACAACAACCACAACAATCACAACAACCACAACAACCACAACAACCACAACAACCACAACAACCACAACAACCACAACAACCACAACAACCACAACAACCACAACAACCACAACAACCACAACAACCACAACAACCATAACCACAACAACAGCAGCAACAACAACAACAACAGCAACACCAACAGCAACAACAACAATGGCAACATCAATGACAATAATTAAGAATGACAATAGCAAAAACCATAATGATAATGATAAATTGGATAAATGCTAAACATGTTTCTATACCTCTTGAAATGTGTGAAAACCTGACTTCCAGCGATTCGTCAGGTTTTCGCCTTCTCGGGGCCGCTCAGCATCTAAGCTGATCCAGGCTGGGGATTCCTGGCCTTGGCTCGAAATTCTGATAAAATAAATATGGTGCGAAAAATGACAACAAAAGTGCAAACTTTGAATTTGCCACTAATGGATCTAATAGCTATGACTCTCTTTGCGTGTTGTTTTTCCGGCATCATGACATCAATCCAATAGATACCTACCAAAACCAATCCAGTCGCTGCTCAGTTTGCAGCTGTTCACTGCATCTGTGAAGGCCAGGGCTGCCTGGAGATGATCCAAAACGGTGTGCCCCTCTGGAGATGCATGCATCTCTCCCTATGTAATCCATATATTATATCATAATAATAATAATATGTATAAAACATATTTATATATATTACATATATATATATAATTGTATATATATTACATATGTGTGCATATGCATGCATGGATGGATGTACTGGATTGTACTGGTATGTTTGGATGTATGTGTGGATGCAATACACCCCCAGAAAGTCTTTGTTGCTTGTTTTTGGCTTTAGTTTAAAACCAATGGCAAGAGTCATGTTCTGATGACTGCTTAATGTGCACTGCTCGGCGAGTTCACTGGTTCTGTTCTCTGGTTGAGATCTGACAGGCCACAACTGTTGTTCTCTCACCTGCCAGGGCGGATGCAACGAGCAGCAAATGCTGCTCAAATCAAAGGTTATATAAAGGTTGTGCAAACAAAATGGCAACAAGAGTGCGTCAGCAACCGTTTTTTTTTCTCCGAGGCTTTGAAGCTATGCAGCTGTCTAAATTGACGTTTCAAAGAGGCTTCGATTTCACCCCTCAAAGATCATAGATGATGTCCAATTGCAAAGTGCAGGACCGCATTCCAGGTTAACTGACTATGTGCAGTAGATTTGTGAGGGAAACAATGCGCTGTAAATCCACAAACATGTTGCACAAGAGTGAAATGGCCCATGCATATGTCACAAAGAAAGTTCCAAGATTCAAACAAAGGTAAACGCAATCTACGACTGCGTCAAATCCTGTCTGCCCCGTCCGAAAAATCCCAATCCAGTCCAGCCTCTGTTTTGATGTTGACGTTGTCCCCAAAGCAGCGGGCAACGGTGGGTTCAAAACATTAAAACATGGGTCGTCCTCCTGTGATATCAAAATGATCAAATATTCAGAAGTTATCATTACGAATGACCTTATTTATTTGCCTTACCCTCTGGCTATTTAACATAGTCATGGGAAATGGCCCATTTATAGAGGTTTACCTACTAAAAATTGTGATTTTCCATGGCTATGTTAAATAACCAGATGGTATTTGTTCATTCTGTACGCTCTTTGGCGCTGACTGTTAGAAGATGGCCTGGGGATGTCGGCCATCCAAGTGGATCAGCCGGACGTGCCTGCCGGTCGCAAAAATGTGGCACCATTGGAAAGGCCAAGTTTCGATTCCAAATGATCCAAATGGTTCCAAGTCAGGTTGTGACTTCTATGACATATGATGCTTCTTTCTATGAATTTCTATCTGGGAAATGCTGCTTTCTATGACTTTCTATTTTGATCTGAATAACTGAATAACCATTGGCCATCGAATCATTGTGTCTAACAAAAAGTGGGCACTCCCGCCAGCTGGAGGGTTAGAAGCCCCAAAGCTATCCAAAACCTTCCTACTGTGACAATAGTCCCTGAAACTTGGCTTTACGACCAGGTCAGTGACTAGTTTAAGCACACATCCCCTAAACTGGCTGTTCCCATCTCTCAGCAAGCAAACAATCAAAAAAAAATGGTCCATACCACCCCAATCATCAGCCTTTCATTTTCGCAATGACTGCAGAGGACTGCACGGGTGAATGATACTACGCTAGCCGCACTCCCCCCGGTTCGAGGGAGCCCACATGAGTCCCACTATCAACGAAGTGCGCTGGCTAAAGCACTTGACAAGGTGTGGTGCTCAGCTACCGAAGATTCAACGCCCGTTGAGACGATCGGAAATATCAGGCTGCAACAAACCACGCAACGGAGCCATTTTTAGGCCCTCTTGGAATCAAAGGTGGCAATGGAAAATCCATGAAAATCCTCTATATATGATTATATATGGAGGTTTATAGCATTTTATAGCTGGGAAAATCCATGAAAATCCTCTATACATGGAAGAAATTGCATTGCCACGGTTAATGCACTCACAGGGACCAGGCATCCATCCAGTCCCTAAAGGGAGGCAGTGCCCAACCTCGGCAATGCAAACAGTGGACCCTAAAGACTACAGACCTGAGGAAAAAATCAACAGAATGCAAACCCAATGTTCAAACTTTACTGTATCAGACTGTATCTTCTAACTTTATCTAGGAAACAAAACACATCGAACGGACTTCCCGAATGCTGTTGAGTCGCCTCCGCACGGCGGCAGCACACTTGGAGTGTTTAAGTCCCAGTTTACCCTGTTCAATCTGTGTTGTATGATGATGCTGTGCCTGGAATCCAAGCCCCAACGAGCTGACAGTTGGCTTGTGTTGGCTTGTATTCCGAAAACAGTGCCCAACAAACTGTAGTTTGCGCGAGTCAAACAGGATGTAGGTTGTGGGTAGTTTTACATCCAAATGTTTCTGCATCTTTGATCCTCCAGCGACGCACTATGTCATGGTCTCACGGTCTCACATGTGTCATGGAAGCCGATCGCAACTGAGCCTTGGAAGTTGAGGTAAGGGCGGCAAGGGGCATGGCAAGCGTAGAATCGTTGACTGGCTGACCAGCTGACTCAGGGTTTTCACCGGATGGAATATGTGCAGGACAACACCTGGACAACTGTTTTGAGGTCGGACTGGGATGGATTCTCTGCGAAAACCCGTGCATGAAGTTGCACAATGTGAGCACACTGTTTCTAAATTGCCTACGGCTCCAGAACTGCGTGTGCCTGGTGGAAGCTGCTCCCGCCTGCAGGGATTGATGATTGGCACGTGGGCATCCTGAATATCTGGTATCCGAAGTTCAAGAGGGTGCAAAAAATTGGTATATGGATGTGTATTATATATATATGTATGGATATATTGGATTATATTGAAGAGGATACTTGATAGGGCTGCTAGGGCGATCTGAACCACCAATCATGGCTGTCAAAAGATCCCCGTCACTTCAACGCTTTGTTCAACGACTGGCACCTCAGTCTTCAGGACTTCCTGCCTTGGACGCCGCCAAGCGATGCTTCCCGCTCTGTTGAAGGAGACCCCACTGAGTTTGTTTCCAGATCTGTTTCCAAAAGTCGTTGTGATTTACCCGGACATTCGGCTTTCCGAGCCTGCCAACTGAGCAGTGGTTGTGACCTTGAGACTTTGGGTATCCATATCCGCTGAAACGTTGATTCAACTTTCTGAGTTTTCACTAGAAGGCCCGCTGAATATTCCTTGAAGTCAGCAATGGCTTACAGCTGGGGCCATCAGACCATTCACTGGTCAATCTTTGGCTGGATACATCCCAAGTGGGTTTCTTTCTACTACCCATCTGGGTGACGTCCAAACACATCCAAACACTTCACCCTATGCCCCAATGACCCCGTGAGAATCCAGATATACGACGCTAGGACGCCATGTTTGGTCATGTTCAATATTTTCCACCTCTCTCTTTAAACAGACTACCACCCGGTGTTTGATATATCAAAAACATTCAAAAACATTCAAGCATGCATTTGTGCAATTTTGTGCACATATACCAGAATCTACTAATTGCTCATGTGAATCTACGCGATTCTTATGTCCCTTTAGTCCCATCAGGCCATCAGGGGAGTCATATCCACTGCCACTGCCAGAAATCCACTGAGATGTCCCACATCTCCTCGCCCGTCATCTCGCTCGCAGGGGAGTTCACACAGGTCCTGGCAGCGGATCCTGCGGGAAATTTTGGGGCGAGGACCTGGGGGAAATCTGTAGCGGAATGGGATTACGTAAGTCTGTACATATGATTGATGGATAGATGGATAGATGGATAGATGGAATTAGATGGATAGATGGATACAGAGAAAGATGAGAAAGATAAACTGTGTTTGCTTTGAAATGCCAATTAATTCAAGTGTCTTCCCATTCTTTGCAGGTCCACTTAAGGTGGATCTGGGACTTCAGCGCTGACCTTGTCCCGTCGGCATCCACCAGCACCGTGCTGAAGGCCGACCTGATTCAGCCAGCCCCTGTCGAAGCTCTAAACACAAGGCTGACTGATCATCACAAGTCCTCACTAGCCTCACTAGCCCGAAAATCAACCCTGGTTCCCCGAAGTTAGGGCCCAAATGGGCCCAACAAGGTTGGGACATCCTGGAAAAAGAAAAAAAAAACTGGAGACGCAAAGTGTTCACCATGCAGAACGGCGAGCGACTAAGGCGCAAACTGTCCCTCTGACTTCATCAAGTCGGTGAGCACCCCCTCATCACTCAGACCTAGGGCTAAAGGGTCACTCCCACATACATAGAACAAAAATGCATTTCAAAAAAGAATAAAATAAGAAATAAACTAGAAGTTGATAGAATAGAAGTTGGATTTTTTTGGGGGGATAGTAGGTTAAACGCCAAATGACGTCAAACATCACCAACATGATGCTGAAGAATTGCAACCCTGCAAACAGTTTTGCCTTGCCCCCCAGTAAGCTCAGAACCCTGCAAAATGGATGTTCCAAGCACGTCCCCTCCCACCTGACGCTGGTGGTTCCATCAGAGAGGTGGAATCGTGGGCGCCCATTCGCCCATTTCTACTGGAAACGTATGAGGCTTGCATGGTCTCTCTGGTTTGGTGGGTTGAGTGCATGAACAATCGCCCCCACCCTTGGTTACATCGGATCTGGGGACATACCATTCATGAGGCGTGAATCATGGTCACTAACCAACGTTGAAGCGAACCCCTGCGTTTCGTGGCTTACTTTCCTGGAGCATGTTCCAACATGTGCCGACTGTCCCCAAGTTTAAAGAACCTGTCTCATTCCTGCGCCCTATTTCTCCAAATTGTAGATACTCTTTGCCACCATCCCAAGAATTGGTTTAGGGAAACCTGTGGGAAACCATAGGAAACCGCAAAAAAAATAGAGTAAAACCCATGGTTTCCCTCAAACCAATCCATTGAACCAGTGGGCGTCACCCCCAAAAATCCACGCCTTTGAGATAAGTTTCGTGCTCCACCCGAGACGTGCTAACGCGGAGGCCGTGTTGGCTGCATTGCCACCTGCAAGTGAAAGCCATCCCAAGAAATCAAGTGACCATTGGTCATATGAGTCATAATTCATATATATATATATATTATATGTGTGTGTGTGCGCGTGTGCACAGTCTATTTAGGTATAGAGAGGGAGAGGGGGAGAGAGAGAGAGAGAGAGGGAGATTTAGATAATATCATAGGTATAAATCTCTCTCTCTCTCTCCATCGCCATCAAATGCGGTCTAATTATTTTAATTATTTTAATTATTCATACAATTCTTGTGTGTGTGTTGGCTACAGTATGGCTACAAATCTCTGATGGGAATGTTGTGATGCTCCCTCTCTCTCTCGCGAAGGAGTGATGTTTCATCCTCTGGTGTCTTGTCATGTCTTGTCCGGCCTTTTGATCATCCATGTCATAGGCTCTATAGGCCCTCGTACAAATGGCTGTGACTGGTAATCCGCTCAAATGAGGCTTGCAATATAGCAGGCCTTTCAGAACGAGCAAATATTGTGCTGTGAGTTTCCCATGAGCATCAGCGTGTTGGCTTAATGATATATCTTGAAGAGGCTTTATAAATTAGATCATGAATTATGCAGATATGAATCCCACACTTCGGGGCGTAAAGGAAAAATCCTGGACAAATCTCAGGAGGCGGAAACCAAGAAAATCTTTCTCTCAAAAAACCTATGGGATGATGATGAAGAAAGAGGCACACCGAGCCTCTTTCGGGCTCCAACTGGAAGAAAGGAACATGGAAAGAAAATAACAGAAATCTCTACCTCCTACATTTTGTTTATTGATGTTTAACGATGTTAATTAGAGGTTCATACCATTGGCATTGGCTTACCCACATTCATCTGGGCTGTGTTTTCGGTCTTCACCTCCAAGCCATGTCGTTTGGAGTGCTCGGACCTGGGCTATGAGGGGCCAATCACAAAATTGCCGCGAAATGCTATGAAAGGGAATCTCAATGCTATGAGGGGAGTCTCAATTGATTTTAACAGACCATTGTTTCCCCCAGACATAGCTCCACGGCTTTTCCCTTCCTGGGATAGCGATTACAGTAGAAACAATGACTGCATGGTCTCCTGGGATACTCCTTGGAGGGTTGATATCCTGTGAACATCTGTGAACCTGCCATCCTGCCACTGACAAGGTGGGTACCAGCAAAGCAGCTCCATTTCGGCTCTTCACATTGCTTCCTACACGCTACTCCTTCTTCGCCACAATGTGAAGATACGACATGCCTTTGGGCACGCTGCACAACCCCACGGCATGCACATGCCGGGAGATGTCCATACTCAGCTCTACATCAAAGCCTGGTTGGTGGTTGAGCCACCCCCCTCCAACTTCTCCGGATGAAAGATATATGTATGAGTACGTGTCTAATATGTGTATATAAATATGTATGTATGTATGTATGTATGTATGTATGTATGTATGTATGTATGTGTGCGTGCGTGCATGCATGCATGCATGCATGCATGTATGTATGTATGTATGTACATGCGTATACGCATATATGTAGATATGTATATTTATCTGTATATTTGTATGTGTACAACCTATGTGCATATATGTATATATATGTTGTGTGTGTGGGTAAATTCTATTTTTTGGTTGTCTATTAACTTGTGTGGCGCTTGCAATGTGCATAAGTGTATGCATTTTGATATTCCTTTGCTTGTGTCTGTCCACGTTTCTCTTATGTATTTTGCGCATTTACACCGCATTCTTGGCCTTTTACCAATTTAAAACAAAAAAAACGATCTGAAAGCGTCGAGCCATGTTAGCCAAGCAGCCGTTGTCCTCCAAGGCGTCCAAAATTTTGATGCTCGTCTTCCTCTCCAGGGCATCGGCCAGCAACAAGCGGCCACCGGGACGCAGCACCGAGGCCACGCCCTGGACGAAGAGCTCGGGTTTTTCGAAGGAGGCGCACGCCTCGATGCAGAGGACGAAGTCGAAGGAATCCTTGGGAAACGTGGCCGTGGACCAACAAAAATACCCTCTGGTAATTTAACATAGCTATTGAAAATTGCCATTTATAGTGGATTTTCCCATTGAAAATGGTGATTTTCCATAGTTACGTTAGTTTACCAGAGGGTATACAAAAATGGCTGATTCATGCCGCATGGCAAATCATCTAGGCGAAACATGGCGAAACCATATCACCGAACCACTAGGGAAGAAGCGTAAATCATCACTTTAGGACATTTTGGAGACAAAAACCGCTAGGACCGCTAGGAAACTGAAGCTGAAAGACAAAGTCTGAGGATGTTTGACCATTGGGCAGAGGGGGCTATTCGGACTGCACATCTGCTTTCAAGCCGTATAAGCAATCAAATTAAGCAAGAGAAACAAACAGAAATGGAGATCGAACCAAGAGCGCAAAATCTTCCAAGACCTTGCTGTTTCTTGACTGTTTTTTTCCACCCCTCCTCAAATGTTGGCCAGTTCCATCTGACACCACCCAGAAGAAAATCGGCATCTTGTTTCCAAATTGTGGTGAGCCCTGCCATGAGAGTTGAAAGGATTGGACAAATATAATATATATATATATGTGTGTGTGTGCATATGACAAAATGGACTGCTTGCTGTAACATGCTATCATTTACATATTATTATATATTTACGTTTATTCCACCCGCAAGTACCCGCAAGACTCCTGGAACAAAGTTCTTCGAACCACCCTGTAAACACGTTCCTCATCGTTCCTCCAAGCTTCTGCTGGCAACTCGTCTGCCAAGTGGTGAGCATCCATGACTTCATACTCCAAGCCCGGCCACTCTCCGAAGTTGGCCTTGCAGCTATCAATGTGCTCCTGCAAATGATCCACGGCCAGTAATCTGCGGGGCTCACAGACCTCCATGAGATATCTGGCCCCTCCTCCACGCATGCAGGCCACCTCCAAGACATCCTTGCCACGGAGCATCTCCGGCTTGGCTTCCTTGAACTTTTCGCTGATGTTGGTGGCCAAATGGTAATAGAGGGCCCCACCATAGAGCATCATCCGATGCTCCGAGGTATTGGCTTCAATGCCCTCACGTTTTAAGACTTCGGGCCTGGGCAACTTAATGCCAAAATCACCACCACAGTTGCAGATGTCCGCCTTCTGGCTGAAGTAACTGGAGCCCAGCCATTTGTAGGACAGTTTCACCAGGTCATTCCACCATCCCGTCACCGGTTTCTGCATCTCCTCCAGCTCCCTGGGGCTGGGTGCGGCGAAGTTCCGCCGCCCCACATTGAGAGATCCAAGGGATCCAAAAAATCGGCGCCGAGATCCCAACCGAAGCATGGCGACGTGGCGGTGGTCCACAGCAATTTCTCTTTGGGTTTTCTTAGGAACTTGGGACCGTTGGGACGACTTTTGTTTAAAAATTTTCTTGGAGGCGAGGCCGGTCATCCATCATGTAATGACCTGAAGTGAGACATCTTAGCGATACAAAAGACTCTTCCAAAAAACAAGGTACATCTGTCCTTGCTTCATGTTCGAAAAATTTCAAAGTCTGCGTGGTGAAGTTTGAGACAAACACGGCAGTGAAACAGGAAGACGCCACTTGCACCATCTTAGCATTCTAGATTGAACTCGCATACCTGAGCACAACCACAAACAGGTGTCACCTTGAGGGTAAATTCATGTGTGAATGGCCCAGGTAGCTGCCCCTCAATCATCGTAAATCAGGATTTACGTGCTCAATGCATCAGCATGGTTTTTTTTTTGGCTTCATCGTTCCATCTGATGCACCCCATGGGCGTCCACCTTGTCATCCGCTTCCGGGAACTTTTCCAGCTCCTGAACAATGTCCTCGGCACCAAGGTGCCAGGTGTATGGTGGTCAAACCAATCATCAACCTTCCAAGTGTGAAGATCATCTCTACCATGTAGAAGATTGGGCGCTGCTGGCACTGGTGTGTCATATGCATATCACATATATCTTTTTGTATAGGTAGATAGATAGATAGATAGATAGATTAGATTAGATAGATAGATAGATAGATAGATAGATAGATTAATTAGATAGATAGATAGATAGATAGATTAGATAGATAGATAGATAGATAGATAGATAGATAGATTAATTAGATAGATAGATAGATAGAGATAGATAGATAGATAGATAGATAGCTAGATAGCTAGCTAGCTAGCGGATTGGTAGATTGGTAGATAGGTAGATAGGTAGATAGGTAGATAGGTAGATAGGTAGATAGGTAGATAGGTAGATAGATTGGTAGATAAGTAGATAGGTAGATAGATAGCTAGCTAGATTGGTAGATTGGTAGATAGGTAGATAGGTAGATAGGTTGATAGGTTGATAGATAGGTTGATAGATAGGTAGATAGATAGATAGATAGGTAGATAAGTAGGTAGATAGGTAGATAAGTAGATAGGTAGATAGCTAGCTAGCTAGCTAGCTAGGTAGATAGGTAGATAGGTAGACAGATAGGTAAAGATATAAGATCTATAGATATTGATATCCACGATTATCCACCATATCTATAACTCTATCTAGATCTAGGGCGTTGACTGCGATGTCATGTAGCAAGCTGAGGCTTCAGGCCAAGCAGGCCAAGCCGCAAACGACCTGGGACCATGGCTACGGCGGCTACGGATGGGCCATGCCATTGGGAGGCCACAAATGACCCAAAACATCCGTAGCCATCGTAGCCAGTGAGGCTCCCACCACTTCGGCCTGTGTCTCAGTACCCCAAGTCAGAGCAGCTGACATGTAGCTGGGCATCTCCTGACAACATGAAAATGTGGCGAGGTCCGGGAAATTGACGCGGATGGTTGCAATTTCGCACAGGTTGAACATACATGCAACATCAAACATGATTGTTTCATGTCAACCCTTTATATCAGAAAATCATCCACAAGAGTTCATTTCCTCCGGCCACGGCGAGCCTCATGATGTTCCGCGAACGCTCCTTCCCCTTCCCTGCCCATCCCTGTCCACTGCGCGTCACATGGGCCGCCTTTTTGATCCGGCCTTCTATCCGACGCGCCCGCCCAAAGCAGCCGGGCGTCAGCTATACCAGGTCAAGAGATGCATGAGCCATGCCATAGGAGGCCTTGTGCGTGTCAAAGAGCTCCCTCAGAGCTTGGCAGTAGAGCTGGTGGAACTCATCCACTTGCCTAGGAATCACTAGGAATTGGGACGGGCAGCAGGGATTGGCCCTTTCTGTGCCACATTTTTCGCCCGTGCATCCCAAACACCAAGAGAATGGACTTTGTGCTGATCCACCCAAACACTTCGGTGGCATTGGGTGGTTATTCTCCTGGAACTTCACCCAGATTTTACTCTGCCCAGCTGCTCCTCCGTCGGATCCAAGGGGGCACCCTGTGGCCACAAGGGAGCTCCCACCAGGGTGGTCAGTGGATGGCGCCGGGGCACCAAGGGCAGCCAGGAGAGGCCGCAAAAGACGGGCATGGCGAAACCAAGGCCTCGGTGTTTGGAAAGGCCTCATGGCCTTTTAAGATGAATGAGGAAAAAAAACATGTGTATATATATATATATAAATGGATCCTCAAAGTGCCAAATGGCATGAAATGGCATTAAATGTCATCTAAACATACAAGGATATAGTTGAAGCTGATTTGAGGCCTCTCTCTATATATATATAAGTATGCATAATTATGCATACCAAATCATGAGATTCGTCCCAGGACTCTCTAGGGAAATTTTGGACGGCCATGAACTTTCCCAGACTTGGGATATGGTGGGTAGATGATGGTAGATGTGGGTAAACATCGCCACAGAGCCATTGTGAAAACAATGAAAACCCATGAGAACCCCCAAATCATCGAGTTCAACGGGCAATTTTAATGCAGAAAAGCACATGGCTTACACATGCAAGAAACCTGAGGCCCGTCGCCGCCCTTCTCGGCCCATCAGAGCATCGACTGAGTAACAAATTGGCTGTGTTGGAGGAGCCCATGTGAAGCCCCTTTAACTCCCCAAGTCACCAGCAACTTGGAGTCAGAGTGTGAGGGATTTATGTATGCCATTAATTAACGGACACCTTTTTCCACATTTCCGGGATCTGGAGTCATTCACACCACGAGGCATGGGCTCTTTGCCTGAAGCGGGCACCATGAGACATCCCATCCGACTTGGGATTGGTATGGATTGGTTGGATAAGGTCAGATGATGTCAGATCATCCGAAAATGTCCAGGTCCACATCTGTGGCCGTGAAGTCAATTGGCGCTGGTGCCTGTGGCAATGCACACTCTTCGGCAGCCAAATCATCCACTTCCTCGCCCTCCTCCAGGACCAGTGACCTGCCACCTGGATCTTCGCCCTCTTCGTCCTCCTCCGAGGCGGCCACTGAACTGGATGAGCTGGATGCAGGTGCAGGAGGGCCCTCACAGCCCATCACAACACTTGGAGCGGAACGAGATTCAGGTAATCTCAGATCTCCGTCATCCTCATCATCATCCTCTGGCGCGCTTCGAGCCATGATGGGCACTGGTGGTAGCCTCTTCTTTTTGGGTGGTGGTGGCAGCATGGACGTCTCTGCACTTGCAAGAACTACAGGATTCGCAGGAGCCTCAGTCTTGGCACCTTCCGATGCAGAAGGGGCTGCCTGCGCCTGGGCTGAGGTTGGCTCAGCCTCGACCTCTTCTGACACCTGTAGCTCTGCACCTGGGTCTGTGGGGGGCATCGGCAAAACCTGCCAGACTTCGGCGTGGGTTTCAGGACACGCTGCAGACCAAATGGGCGCTCTTTCGACGCTTCCTTTCTCAGCGTTCTCCGCTTTCTCCTCACCCTGAGAATCCTGACAGAAGTATTGGAATAGCAGCCCTTCTGCCTGATCCCATTCGAAGAACAGCTCCCTCTGAGTATCGTGGTAGAAACACCGCTCCCGATTTTCAGAGACAGACCACTGGTCTTGAGCCTGTGCAAAAGCGTTCCTCCACGCTTGTGCTTGTGCCTTCTGCACCCCATCTCCATTGGAGCCATTCGCAGCAGGTTCTGGTGGCGCAGGCGGCTTCACAGCTTCTGCTGCTGGCTGTGGTGGGTCGGGCTCGCCGAGCGCTGAAAGCTCTGCAAGCCCTAGAGTCGGTCTTTGAGGCTTTGGCTGTGCAGCCTTTGCAGCCGGCTTGGATGGCCCACCCAGCCCCAGCGATTGGAGCACGTCCGAACGTTTCTGCCTCTTGTTGGCTGGTTCTTGGGCTGCCTTGCCCCCCAGGCCAAGCAGACTGTTGAGACGCATGGCCTAGGGCTTCAGCGGCCCTGTCAGGCCCTGATCCACAAAACTCACATTGCAATAGCTTGAGCAAAAAAAAATGCGGGAAGGTCAAAGGCTGGAGATTCCATCTTGACAGGTGGCCAAGGATTGGCCAAGGTCCTGCAAAGCGGCATTTAGGCATTTAAGTACGACAGTACATTCGGCTATGTTTGTTTCCAGTTTCAACTCAACTCGACAATGATTTGCAAAGCTCCGCTTGCTGATTCATGACAAGGCTCGTCGTTGCAATCGCTCTTGGATCGCTCTGCCCCAGGTGTGCTTTTCAAATTGCACTGTGGAGTATAAGTCGTTCCTGCAGCACGATTTGCAAGGCCATGACTTTGTGGCTGCTATGAGGGCGCATGGCTCCATGAATGGGGCTAGATGAACATTCCAACACCATTTAATCAGGTTGTCGCAGGTCCAAAATGCACCCACACAATGATATGCAGGACCCTTTGTATTCCTTCATGATGAGCTAGCAATTAGATTTAGCGCGGGTCTATGGTACGCTCTGTGGACTTTTGTTTTCTGCCAAGGCACTCACCAAAGCCCAAAACCGGTACTAGGGCCGCACCAGTGCCTTAGATATTATGGCAGCGCCAATTCTCAAAGCTGTCTGACACGCGCATGTTTGGACATCTACCGATCATCCCTCTCTATATCTAAATACTACTGTATGTAACAATATTCACACGCATCTCTCTCTCTCTCTCTCTGTCTGTCTATCTGTCTATGTATCTGTCTGTGTATCTGTCTCTGTATCTGTCTATCTATCTATCTATCCATCCATCCATCCATCCATCCATCCATCTATCTATCCCTCTATCTCCTCTTCTCTCTCTCTCTCTCTATAGATCTATCTATCTATCTATCTGTCTGTCTGTCTGTCTGTCTGTCTATCTTTCTACCTACCTACCTATCTATCTAATCTAATCTAATCTAATCTAATCTAATCTAATCTATCTAATCTAATCTATCTAATCTAATCTATCGAATCTAATCTATCTAATCTAATCTAATCTATATCTAATCTAATCTAATCTAATATATCTAATCTAATCTATCTATCTCATCTATCTATCTAATCTAATCTAATCTAATCTATAATCTAAATCTATCTATCTATCTATCTATCTATCTATCTCTCTCTCTCTATCTCTCTATCTATCTATCTATCTATCTATCTATCTACCTACATCTACCTGCCTGCCTGCCTACTTGCCTTCCTGCCTGCCTGCCTTTCATCTGATCTTTTCCATCCATCTCCAATGCAGTACGCCCTCCACACCAGCCACCAGCAGCCAACTGATCATTTAAGGTGCGCAGCGCGAGGCGCGCGAAGCCTTTGCGGTTCTGCAGCACGAGTCTCATGGTGCCTGGCTCACACTCCAAACTTTCCTTCGCACCTGGCAGGGCAGCGGCATGTTTGGTCGGGAATCCTCCGTGCTCAACAAGGACATATAGCAATGGGAAATCCCTTGTTTATAGACTTCAACAAGATTTCTTTGGGAAACGAAACGCGCTTTCTCTCAGATTGCTGGACAGGAAACGGTCCACCCAACCCGCAGATTCGCCCAACCTCCAGGTGCCAAGGCGATGGAATCCCCCCGGCCCAGCAAATATAAGCACGTGTCACGTCCGGCAGAACCATGTCCGTGCATCAAGCACCACTCCTGACAGCACACATCAGCACACCGTGACACCATGTGACACCCCAAGCCATTGATACCTGTCGAATATACCTGTCGAATACCTGTCGAATTGGGTGGAACATCAATCAACATTTAGGAATGTACATTGCCAACACCAGAGGTTAGCTATTTTGCACTGCTTTTGCAAGATGACTTCAGATGCACCTAAGACGTGGTGTCCCTATCTTTCTCGCCCACAGAAATCTCCCTCCGCAGCACCCGAAAGAGCGGGATGCGAAAGATGGCATTGTGCCCCAGCAGGTGAACACGGACACCAGGGAAAGTCTGATGAAAACCTGGGTGGGTCAGGTGGAAAACTGATGTCATGGTCATGGTCATCACAATGCGGATGGTTGTGATATGTTGTTATAGCCCTGACTAATGGTCATGATACTGGAAATGATACTGGCACAAGGTTGTAATGATTCGGAATGGCTGTTTCAGAGTTCCATCTCTTCGGTTCTAAGGCTGCAGTTGGAGTTGGATTGTCATCGGTCATGGCTCCTACAGGTCCTCGGCTGCCAGGGAGCCACTGCCATCAGTGCCAAAGCTGGTCATGGGAGATACTCCAATGATACCTGGTTGAGAATCAAAGCCAAACCCTCGGAGACGTGTGATCTTGAATCTAGAACAAAACATCGCTTCTCCACCAGAAGCGGTTCATTGGTTGTCCAAAGGTGAGACGTGTGACGGAACCTGCAGAAGCAAGCGCTTGATCACGAGCAACTTCCACCGTCATGCATCCAAGCTGCCATGAGGATGACATACGAAGATGTAGGGACCCTTTTCCGCCGGCACTGGCGCAGTAGCCTTCAGAGTTACCTGGGCAGAAAGTGTTGCGGCATCGGCCAAAGTGCACTATTTGACATGGCCTCTTTACCGTTAACATCCGTTCACCGATTTCTTCCTGGAGTTCATTCGGTTCATTCAAGATCTCACATGCATCACCAATACGTTCGCCCTTGCCACCCTTGCCGCCCTGGCCGAAACCCGACTCATGCAGCTGGAATCACCGGAAAGTACTGCGCGGCGTAGCGCCAGAACCACGATCTTCGGAGCATGTCAGTGATACCCAACTTCCAGAGCCACCTCAAAACACCGTGGAATAGCTATAGCTACAATCCAAGTGTAGGGAAAAGGAGGAGGGCCCCCTGGAAATGAAGAGTTCTATCATCTAAAATAGCAACCCGAGCGACTGGTTTTTGAGGTGCAGTTTCAGAGGAATGACGAAGTATGAAGACAGAACTGTTCAATGTTGGAATACTTTGGTCTTGACCTTGTGCCATATCTCTATTGCAGGGTTCCGCATTCCAGCATCCAAGAATTCGGACGAAATTTCAAGAGTTCCAAGTCCTGGTGCAATAGGACAAATGACAATGATTCACAAATGATGACAATGTTCGGCACCAAGGGGCTCATAACCACCCTTGGTCGGACTTGGATCCAGCAGTATCCAGCAGACATAAGCCGCGATGGCGCTGCGCAAATAGATCCCCCCGCGAGCAACGGCCAGGGCGGTGACGGTCAAGCAGGCCGCAATGTTGTTGAGCGGATAGGCGCACATAAAAGTGGCACAGTGAAGGGCATCCATGGCGTCAATGCCCCAGGTCCATTTTTATGGGGAAACCATTGAATTTCATTGGATACAGGAGTGAAGATATCACTAATATCACATAATATCAGATATATGAAGATATCACTAATAATAATATCACTATCATCTGTCAAATCTGTTGAGTTCTGCAAGTCTGACGTGGTGAAATTTGGGTCAAACTGCCCCGAATCCTGTCCCAAGTTCTGTGGGCTGCCATAACAACCTGTAGCTTCCAGGAAGCAGCGACTGCGTTGGAGCGCTTGGGGACCTGCTCCGTTGGGAAGGAACATTCTAATGGAGAATTCCATGCCTATCTGAGCTGAAATGCTAAACGAGTTGTAAGAGAAATAACCGATGGTATGCAAACATTATTGTTGGAACTATTATCATTGTTACCATGTTATTATGAGTTATTACTATTGTAATTATAATTGTTTTTCCGATTATTATGATTATTACTATTTATTATTATTATTAGCACTATGTTATTATAATAGTTAAGCTCTCTCTCTTTCTGTGATATGATATTCATGCAAATGCATCTTCCATACAACAAACAAACGGACGGATAGATGTGTACCTCATAAATATGAATGTACATGCACAAAACATCCACCCCTCTTCTCAGGCTCCTCCATGGGCAGCGCACCCAAGAAGCCCCTTAAGCCTAGAGCTCTGCAACCCATGGATCAATGTCAATCTGCTTGGTGAACGGGAATTCCCAGAGAAAAATTCATTACAGTAATTGATGAGAATCCATGACAATCTCGATAAATAGCGGGTCGGTAAAGAACACGACTCATCATCAACCAATAATGGGTTGAACACTGCTCATGGCTCAGTTGGATGCCCTTAGGCATCATCCCAAAAAGGAATGGAGAAAAACAGAAACATGCATATATGTATGTATATATAGATATGGATGTAGATATTAGATTCATTAGATATTTAGACAATATAGTTCAATATAGCTATAGATATCTATAGTCTATAGCTATATAACTCTATATATATATATGAATATATATATATATATTCAGATATCGATATATTGTTCACCATCTAAAACCAAGATCCCCATTGGCCAGGTCGAGGCGCTCTCCTTTGCGGGCCGCCGTGGCGGGGCCGGAGCTTGATCGATGCCCAAAGCCTCCACTTGGGCCACCACTGGGATTTTAACCATGGATTTTTTGGTTGGTTTGATGGTTGAAATATGTTAAAATATGTTAATATCATGTAAAATCATTTAAACTCATTGATTGTTTATTTAAAACATTTTAAAACAAAAAAAACACTGATTGTTTAACCACGAACTGCCACTAACCATTGATTTTGACCATGAAATGGTCATTGATGGATTCTCGATGGGATTATCAATGGTTAAAATCGATCATCAATGGGACTATCATTGATATGTATGATGATTGATGGATTCTAACTATTATGGTGATGATTATTGGTGGATTATTGATTTCACCATTGGTTGTGACCACTAACCATTGACGTGTTGTGCATTGATTATTTCTACCTGTAGGGATTGGATTTGTGTCACTTTGATGGTGAACCCTCAGGAGTTGACCTGAATGGGTACGGACCAAATGACATGTCTTCAAAGCATTCACGACGAGAAATCTCCTAAAAGTGGTCGCATATACTGCGATAGACGACATTAAACTAATTACCATCTTCCGCGGGGTGGCCACCGCTCAATTGGATCTGGCACTTTGTGAGCTCAGAATTCCCTGCGTCTTCACGGCCTTGCGTTGTAACATGCTACGCATATGTCCAATGACATTGGAACCCCGACCAATTCAACGTATGCCCCAAGCCCCATGATCCTCACTGTGGACTCCACTGCACAGCAGCAGCACCTTGGGACGTGTCTCGGGAGCTAGGCCTAGATCCTGCCAATCCAAGCTGATCTGGTTGGTTTCCGCCTCAAGCGTATCGTTTGTGTTTATTCATTTGAAAAGCAGTTTTTGACCACCAAATAGCAGTCATGTATCCTGTCCTAATGCTGACTCTGCTATACCTATCTATATTATAATATCTTATGATATCTTATGTTCAATGCCAATGCTGCCGGAATCGTAAACAGCGACGTGTCATTTTACTGACAGCTGCGGTCCATTGAAAAAGCGACTGACACTCATCAATCCTTTCTGGGGACATTGAATCATTGATGATAAAAATCCCCAAATGTCATGTTTTTCCGGATTATTGTCCTTTACTGGGCTTCCATAGTATTGTGTGTTTAGAACATTCCCATCTGGTAATCTACCCTGGCAATGGGGAATACCCATCTTGAGTAAGAAAGTCATCTATAAATGGTGAATGTGTTGATCATGTTTGATAATTACTTCATTTAAATCATAGGTCATTTAGTCATGTAAAGATTAGTAAAGATTAATTTAATGCATCATGGAAAATTAAGAATAACAATCATTCATAGATGAGTAGAGATGAAGGTTCGAAGGCTAATAATTCTAGAATTATTTCTTGCCTGATTGACGGCCAACCCCTACCCCTTAAAAAACAAACATCTGCCACGGGTTGCTGAGCTGCTGCCCAAGTGACATCGAGGCCCGCAGCACGAGCACCACGGACATCATGCCAAACCTCTGCAACTTGAAGGCCACAGCCACTTGAAATGGGTTGGTCGGAAAACGGCGCATACCCCCAAAGAAACAATGTCATATGGAAAATGATGATTAAACAGTGGGATTTATTTAGGGCACACCATTTTCAGACAAACCCAAATCCTGAAATCTGTATATATCTACACGTGAACTACACTGTGCATCATTGTGTGACATAACTCGTCTTACATGCCTAAATCATACCATCCCTAATGAATAAAAATGGCAATTTGTATATGTTGTTATCTTTGTATGCCCCCGCGGTTTACATCAGAAGGGCACCCAGCAAGTTCAACGCTTCGAAATTGGCAGATTTCTTGGTGCTGTGCGCTGTCACCCACCATGCAAACTCGTGCGGAGCTGGCCACACCGGCCTACGAAAATGTCGATTCAAACAAGTATCACAGCATCGCTTCCCGTGGGTTGTTGCATGTGCCTGAAAACAGGAAAACCTCCAAAAATACAAAACAATAACTTACTGATTAAATCGATGTGTATATATATATGCATATACATGTGTGTGTGTGAATATACATAAATACACACAGAATGATTCAGAAACATGACCTACAGCAACCATACCTACTGCATCCTACTGCTAGTGGATGTAGGCCCAGAGAAAGTTCACCCAGTGAGGCGCTCGAGCAGCAGCCTCCTGCAGCCTTTCTCGCGCCAGTTGGAAGACCTCCGGATGCGGCCTCTGCGTGTTCTGAAGTGAATGGTATGGTTAAAAGCCCTACGGGCCCGGTATCTGAGGGAATGAACCTCCATTTACCAGAACCTACTAGCTATTTTGGTGCTTCACAAGGGTAGGAGGGTTCTGAACCACTTTCTCCACATCAAAACATTCCAAGGGAACCACTGCAACCACGCTCTGCAGGATCTCATGGCCAAGGGGCTTGCCCACAAAAATGGCACTGGGCCCTCCAAGCTCCCTGTAGCGTTGCGCCAGCCTCGCCGTTGAAAGGCTGGAAGGTGGGGCCCCGGGGCCCACCCCAAGACCCTAAGGTCTCGGTGTCATACGGTGTGAAACCATACATCCCGATACATCGATCCAAAGTCTCACCAATCAGCGTTGCCACCATCATGATGGTTTCCCGATTTATGTGTATCATTCAGTATGATTCACTATCAAATCTGTGACTGTGTGTGTGTGATTCACTATCATATATATATATACATTATATATGTATATGATGTGTGTGTGCTATATATATATATATATATTTGATATTCCATCATATTCATATCATATTCATATCATATTCATATCATATTCATATCATATTCATATCATCGTCTTATCCTGGGTTTTCATGGGCACCTGCCAGGCATGGGACTGGCATTGCCATCCGGCCGTACCACATCTGGATTCGCCACCTCCAGCGGCGCGGCGCCATGGCCAGGTCAGGTGACGCGGTCTGAGGCGGTCTGAGGCGGTCTGAGGCCGGGGCCAGCATTGGAACCTCGGAACCGGCCACATCCGGCCACTGGGAAGGGATTGGCAGGGAGAATTGGAGTGAAAAATCCCTAAAACATATGGAAACATATGGAAAATATTGGAACATATGGAAGATGGATTCAAAAAAGGATGAACAATCATGAAAAAACCATGCTCCAACAAGCCAATAGGTCTTGGACTCTTGGACCTGTGATGGATTTGGCGGGGGCAGGCTGTGGGAAAGACACCCATATCAGAACGTGTCACACATGTGATGATCCAAATGAATCCAGCCCGGCACAGGACCGACAGGACCTCTCCTTTTTAACGCATTACAGTCCTAAGTCCAAGCTGCTTCTGAACTGTACACTGTACAAAGCTTTTGATCCGCTTACGAAGCAGATTGAAAAGTTGATGATAAGTTGACAGTTCAAAGGACAAAGCTAATGACTGGCTGCAAAGCAAGATGTGGGAACGGAACGGAATACCCGGAGTATGAGGTAAAGTGCCATGCATCTCAAAAGAAACATGAACCTCATGTGCGCCTCTTGCAAGCACCGCGCCGCGCAAGGAACGCAAAGAGTTGTACCTGACGGAGACCTCAGTCTTTTGATCAACCGCAAATTCCAAAACGTGGAGGGGGTTTGACCCTCAATTGCCACTGATATGAAATCTCTAGAGATGCCCTGCACAAAAAAGGGGCGAAAAGCTTCCGCCAAGATTCTGAATGGGCAATTCTTGTCTCGAGACTTTCGCAGCCGGGTTCGCGGCCCCACATGGCGATGAGGAGGCCGGCGGACCTGTTCTCAGGTCCAGGCAGCGTAGAATAGATTACTTCCCCTGCAAGAATCCTAGAAGATCTCAGAGGTAAGCTGAACGGTCAAAACCCCGCACCCTGGTTTTCACATCAAACTGGCCGCGATTTATGGATGTTCATCCCGCCACAGTTATGGAAGATTACAAGGTTTTGACCTGTAGCCAGTTAAGGCCTGCGGCTTTGAAGCTGGCAACGTGTTTGTGCTCGCTACGAAGAGCGGTGCTACACGTCTGCTGTCGAAGATTACCACTGCGTTCCCAACATGCCTCCGAAACAAGGGGCTGCCAGAAGAGCCAACACGTAAGCGGGGATGGTTCATAACTATGTACTATACCGCTACAAAATGGAGAAAACTTGGGTGGCTATATATATATATACCTAGAAACACCAGAGGCAAGAAAAAGTGCCTCAGGCCCCCGAGGCGAAAAATAACGCCGCATGAGTTTTGTTTTGCCTCTGGTGGGTTAAAAATGCCTCTGGAAAGCAAAAAACGCCTCAAACACAAGAGTTTCCCAAAACCCTAGGACTCCCCATGGCGACTTTTGCAGTTGCAAAGCCCACAACTAGGGACCAAACCCCTGACAAACAGCCGCACGTACTGCTAAGGAATTCTATGAATTCTTATGATTTCCCTATGTAATGAACGCTGCAAGAAAAACAATGCAGAAAACAAGCCCTAGAGTATATATACAATATATACAGTATATATGTTTTCATATTTGCACATTTGAAGCGTTGGCTTTCATCGACATTGAACCACTTGGATTGCAGCTTTCAACAAAATTTCACGGCAGGAAGAAAACTAGAAGAATCAAAATCCGTGATACAACCTTTTAGACATGTTTCCGGCAAGATTTGGACCTCAATTTTCAGAGTCCGCCCTTTTCCGCCGTTTTCCCGCCCTTATCCGCCGTTTTCCCACCCTTTTCCGCCGTTTTCAGTCCTCTGAATTTTCAGTTTCTCCATGTTTTTCCTGGTTTACCTGTGTTCTTTTTCATGACAACCATTTTTGTCGCCGTACTCACTTCCATTGCCTTTTGGAAAGATGCTGCAAATGCCAAAAAGCAACAAACAATTCCAGTGTGACAGCATTTTGTGGGCAATGACAGCCTCGCTGACAGATTTTAGCCACGCAGAAGCTACGCCCCCAGTTTTAAGTGATTTACACTATTGAGATTTGGAATTGGATTTAGCCAAGGCTTTGCGTTCGCAGGTATTGAAATCAAAACAATGTCCGCTGTCATTTACCCATCCCAGAACAATCTAGAGCAGAGAAAAAGGAAAAACAATGAAAAACAAGGATTGCAACAAAAACGCCTCAGAAAACAAAAAATGCCTCAGCAAAGCAAAAAATGCCTCAGATCAACTGGAGGCGCCGCAGACCCTCCGAGGCGTTTTTTTTTTGCGGTTTGGTTTTTCCAGGTATAAATATAATATAATTATATAATGTACGTATGTATATGTATGTGTATTATAAGTGCTGTTGCGTGCATACATGACATGCAATTTGCAGCCCCAAAGTGGTACAGTACCATGCCTATACCCCCTTCTTTGAGCCACACCAACTACCCCGGAAAATCCTAAAAACGGGACAAGGGATTGCAACATGGCTCCAAAAAATACCACAAACAGTAATGCCGCAATGCCTATACAAAAGATATAAAAGACTACAAAAGATTATAAAAGCAACAACCACCTGCGATTAACGGGGACATCCTGCAGCACCTCGGGCGTCAAAATGTTGAGATACCCCATACCCCATCCCATCCCATCCCTATCTTTATCTTTCTTCCCCAAGGATTTCCACCCCGCATCACCCCGCCTTACGGCTTCGGACTCAGCCTTCACCGTCAACGCTCCGAAGCTCTTCAGCTCTCCGCTTTGGACCGCATCGTCCAGCACGCCACAGACCAACAGCTGCCGCGCCCTGGACGATGGTCGGATGAAGCCCAAGGACAGCTGGGGCGACTCCATGCTGGCTGTGTAGATACCCACGCCGTGAGCACTTCCGTTGGCCACCCGGATGCCGTTGTTCGCTTCATACGGGACCCTGAAATGGTGGAGAGCGGAAAAATCGGAGAAAGAGAAGCAAATCCATGATAGATATGATAGATCATGATCATGAGATATCATGAGTGCATCCTACAGTTGTCCATCATGCAACTTGAAACAGTGCGTCAACAAATCGAACACCAAATAACATAAGCAATTTATCAAACAATCACATGTTCAGAATATTCCAGCATCATCCAGCTTTGTTCCAAGATGCAGCAGCCCGCGCTGGAAGATGGATGGGAGGTTGTGTTCAGAAGTGCCATGGTATGTTGGAATCAATTTGCCCTCCAACTCCTCCGTCGCCGTCAAGAATTTCTGCTGCACACCTGACATGATGCCGAGCCAATACGCCACTCGCATCTTCGCATCCCCATCCCACCATATCTCACTAGGCCCCAGCCTGCCTTCAGCAAGAGGCGTGGGTTTTAGAAACAGTGGGCCGCCAAAGGAAGAATGCAAGTGGGTGCAAAAATTGAGACCATGCTCCTTCAGCTCCCAGTGTGTCGACTCTTCATTTGGATGGTCATCCCGGGAAGTGTAGCTGGCTAATTATTACCATGGTTGCAATTAGTATAGCTATAATATATATATATATATACTTATATATTATATATATATAGTCAGTGGATCTCGGCTGTAGCTCCGCCATGGGTTTTTGAAGCTTTTTACCAGGTTGGGGGACTTGCTAACTAGATCTAACTAGGGATGGGTACTGACCACTGGTAACCGGCGAATCAATGCCAACTGGGCTGCGTATCCACTGTTTGAGTCCTCCAGAAATCTCTTGCGGAAGTGCTCGAAGCGCTGGATGGTCGGTGTCTGCTTAGTCTGCTTGTTATGTTTCTTTTTTCCTTCCGGCACCTGAGGCCGCGGCATTTCATGACCGCATCCGACATGATCGCGAACCGTCATTTTATAGTACCGTCATGTTAATGACAGTCATATTAATGACAAGGGAAGATCCGGGTGATGATCTTCCTCTTGCGCAGAAACCTGTGCCTGTGGACAAACTTGTGAAATGGCGGCACCACATGCCTCAAAGTGAGGACACTATTTCCGCTCTGTTCAGGAATATGTGTGCTTTCGGAACCTCTCTCAGGAGGTGGTGGGTCCAGTCCATGACGGGGCTGCGGAAGTCTCACCTTGTCCGACTCCCCCACCACCACGCCTGCGCACCCCAGACGACAGTGGTCTGGCACTCCCGAAGCAGCTGTCTTTCGATGGTCCTCCTGGGGCTGGAGTTTGGGGAATGTTGCAATGTTGATAAGCACACCGGGGTATGAGATTTTACGACGCTTGGGGGATGATCCCAACTGATTCATGACTTGTTACTATCTCTCTGTGATGGGACACACTTGTCTAGCCTACTGAACATCATTTCAGCATGTTTCATGAAAAAGCCCCAAGCTTCAGCAGTGCTGTGGAACAGTCTATCCTCCTTGATGCCTAGGGCTTGTCTCGATTTAAAGGACTGGTAATGTGTTTGCCCTTTGTAGAGGCTTCCGTTTGGTTTGGTAGGACTCATTGTTTGCCGACCTTTCTTAACGGCAGCCACATCCCGCTGAAGGCAGGCCTCTCACTCTGCCTCTGCCTTGGCATTCTCCGCTTCTTAGCCTAGCAGTGGACAGGCCAACCCCAGCTACCTCGGCGACCCCAACATGCCACACTGCCGACCGTTGATTCATCCCAGCCTGCATCGGCATGCTTGGCAATCCATGCTGCTGGAGGTAGGCCGCATAGATGCCAGCGTTCAGCTCCGCTACTAACAGCGCCAGTTCCCATCTGGTGCGCTCCTGTGTGAGGGTGGGGTACGGGAGCCCTGGTGGCTAACCATGGCTAACCTCTTGGACGGACCGATTCTCTCAGTATCCCTAGCGCTGTTGCAGGTGGCCTTGGTTGGGATCTTCCCTCCACTGCCAGCGCGCCGCAGCCTTGGAGATGCCGTGGAGCAAGACCCCGCGTCGCAGGAAAAGAAGGACCTTGTGGCAAGTCACAAAGCTGGTCCAAAGCGGATATCCTGCGAACATCATGGAATAATCCCTTTGCCCTATTCAATATGTATATATATATAATTATATATATATACTCCGTCATAACCGGAGTTGTGTACTGGCTATCTATTCTATTGATTTGGGGGTCCCTTGCGGCTTCTTTCTAATACGGTGCTAGGGGGAATGAATGACTATAAAGTTCTGGACAAGGTAGCCATGGAACCAGGAAGTTGGGGAATGGAGGCTCGGAGGGAAATGGCTAGAGTCTAATCAATAGTTGTATCAAATATCAAATATCCATAAGCCGATCTGTAAAACCTGTAAAACCCAAACCCAATGAACAGCAGCATCTGCTGCTTTTCGAGACGCCACGAAGATTCCGTTTCCGTCGATTCATCGTGGAAGCTCTGCATATTCTGCATGTCGCTCCCATGGGACCCCACCTGACAAGGTGAATGGATGTCAATGGGCTACCCTCTGGTAAACTAACATAACTATGGAAAATCACCATTTTTAATGGGAAAACTCAATATAAATGACCATTTTCAATAGTTATGTTAAATTACCAGAGGGTATATCACAGTGCATGGAAAAAACTCAAGCAGCCGGGTTGCCTCAGATGCCTCAGATGCCTCGACCTCCAGGTCTTCATCTTCCTGTGGCCACCCATAGTAGTGTCATAATGTCTGGTTTCATGGCAACCCTGGCAACATCCCAATATATCCCAATGATCAGCTGTTTCGAGGGCCAAATTCTGACCTGTGCATCCGATCCGGTATCCCATTAGACTTTAAGATACTTCAAGTATGCTTACATATACAGTATGTCGGAGGTGGCTGTGGATTGTCACGCTTTATTTCGCATCACTTAGGCTGTGCTTTCAAGAGGGCCCAAATTATTTTAAAAAAACTAAAAAAATATCGATCATGGAAGTCTTTCAGCTGGAAAACCTAGAATTCAATAGCTTAGCAAGGTGAAAACTCGATTTCCTCTGCCCATCATCTCCAGTTTAGGCCAGCCCACAGGATCCCTTCATCTCATCATGATAGTCCCCAGTAGACAACAAAGGGTAGTAACCTGTATGCTACTGCACACATATCAGCCAAGCGTTTTTTCGGGGGTTGCCTGGTGAATCTCTACATGTCGGTCCTCCATTTCATCTTGGACGCCCTCCATCTCCCACAGAGGTTCCAGATGCTCGGCCGCATCCTCCCGCGTTTGGTTGCGGAGCTGTCTCCGTCTTCGGGCTGGCAACCACATGGTCCCATACTTGCCTCGATATTCCTCGGCCAGGCGGCATGCCCTGGAGCCCTCGGTTTCGCTACATTTAACAAATGACGCCATATGCTCCTCGTCTCGAGTTCAAAAAAGAAAATCCAGGCGTGCAACAAAACGCTTCGCGACGGTGCATTCCAGGTTAGATGTTTGCGAGGCGGAGCTCTGCCAATCTCATTGAAACCTTCATTCTACATGCCGTAGGGTATATCAAATTAGATTTCAAGAATTCTCGATTACATCTCAGAGATGCCCTTCTCTCCCGTTGTGAGCCTGCCAACTGCTGATTGGTTCTTCTATTAGTGCCTGCACCTTTCCATTTGTTCTTTGTGATGGTGTATCCCATTCTTGGCATCGTTTACCATCTATCAGGGGTCTCTATCTGTTCGTTTTCGTGGGTGGGAACATCACTCTTTCATTTTTCCATGAGTGGCCAACCCCCTGGTTTGCCCCAAACAAAACCCCCAAACAAAACTAGATAAAGCAACCATATACAGTATATGCATGTGTGTATCTATCTATCTATCTACCTACCTACCTACCTAGCTAGCTAGCTAGCTAGCTATCCATCCATCCATCCATCCATCTATCTATACATTATATGTATACGGCCAGGAGAGGGGTGCTGCCCGCGGAAGCGCGTTTTGATTGGCAATTTGGGATGTCGTCGGATTGGCCGAACGGATGACGAGATTTGTTTCCAAAACACAAAACCCTAAAATCCTAAACCCTAAAACCTAAATCTGACATGAAACCCTGAGTAAGCCTTGAAAGTAAAATCTTACTAGAATCGTTGTTGTAAAAAATAATAAATAAAACCCTAAATGACACCCTTAATGACTCCCTAAATAAACCTTAAACAAACCCTGAATAAACCCTAAAGAGTTGGTCACATAATAAACCTCTGGGCGGCACGCCCGGCCTGGGGTATATATATATATATACACATGTGTGTGTGTGACAAATAATATGTGTGGGTGTGTGTCCATGTTTATCCAACTTTAAACAATTTTATACCTATGTATGCACCTTATATCATATATATATATATATTTATAATATATATATATATATTTAAAAGCAGCACCCATTCTTTCCACCTGACTGGGGTCATGTGGCCTTGCGTTTCCTTCAGGTGCGGCGATCGGCGAAGACACTCATGGCTCAGGCGAGACAAAGGAGCAGTCTTAGCGGTGTTGGATCTAGGCAAGATCCGTGGGCCTGGGCAATTTAACTGGTAGCGGAGCCCCTAAGACGGGGGCATCCGGTTATAGCCCTGTTGGCCTGTGATCCTAGGTACGATCGGGCGAAAAGCAGCACTAGGCTGCCATGGCGACTGAGCAGCGCGATGGCAATGCTCAGTGGAAACGCTTCAGTGGCGATGATCTGGACGGTAAGGCGTATAGACGCTGGAAGCTCTGGGTCGAAGCCAAGATGGCAGCCTCAAAGGATATCACCAGCAAACAACGCGGTCCCTTCGTATACTGTTTGCTGGATGGCACAGCTTTGGAGTCAGTGGAACACCTGACCTTAGAGAAGCTCCAGGAAGAATCCGGTGATCGCTACATCTGGGATGCCTTGAATGAGCGCTATCCGGACAAGCAGCAACATGACTGGCTGGCAGAGTGCCTTCGTGAAGTCTTTCAGATTTCAGCGAACGAAGGTGAAAGCATGATGGCGTGGACTTCAAGGGTTCAGGAGGTGTTCTCCAAGTGCAAGCGCAAGGTGCAGGTGGATTTTCCCACCGAAGCTCGTGGCTGGATTTGTCTTCATGCTGCAGGCTTGACGGAGGACCAGCGGGCGATTGTCACCGCAAAAACCCAGGGAGACATGAAGCTCGACGTGGTCATGGGCGCCATGCGCTCTTGCTTTCCAGACTTCAAAGCTCCTTCCAAGACCGCGAAGTCCCGAGGTTCAGCAGTTTATGTGGTAGAGGAAAATCCAGTGAACCTGAAGTTTGAGCCCGACTCCGACGATGTTGAGCCCTCGGACAACACGTTAGCTGACGTTGAGGCATTTCTGGCCGATCACGGCGTCCGTGAAGAGAGCCTTGAGGCCTCCACCACTGCCCTCTTCGATGAGAAGGAGGTGGCCGAGATCCTGGCGGCAACCTGGAAAGAGAAGAGAGCGGAGATCACCAAGTTGCAACGCAGTCGCAAGTTTACCCAGGCCTCGAACATCAAGAAGCAGTTCTCCCGAGAAGCCTCGGATCTCAAGCGGAAGTCCAAATGCTGGAATTGTGGCCGCCCAGGACATTGGTCGCGAGAGTGCACGGCTCCGAAGTCCTCCAGCGCTTCGTCTGAGAACGACAAGCACAAGACCCATGGCGCTGCAGTTGCAACCTGCCTCTCTCCGGAACCTGTTTCTGGTGAGACCTTTTTGGTGTCCTCCCCGGGTTTTGGAATAGTGGATAGTGGGTGTAGCAGAACCTTGATTGGCCAAGACACCCTCAACTCCTTTCTGCGCCTTTTTCATGACCTGAAGTTGCCGACCCCTGAAACCAAGTCTCAAAGCAATTTGTTTCGTTTTGGAAATGGCAGTGAAGAATGGTCAGAAAGGGTAGTCACTATGCCGATAGGAATTTTTGGACGTAGAGGTTCCGTTGAAGCTGCAATCATCAAGGAGAATGCTCCTCTGCTCCTGAGCAGAGCCACCATGCGGGATCTCAAAGCGGTCCTTGACTTCAGTGAGAGCAAGATCTCCTTGTTGGGTGCCCAGGCGCGTCCAATGACCTTCAACGAAGCTGGCCAGGTGATTGTCAACATGCTGGACTTTGACGCTCATCCTGCTCTCTTGGTGCAAAGTGATGAGGTGGTTTCGGCATCTGGCAAACTTAGCAAGCGGGAGCGTCGAGTGGTGCTTTCTCAGATGAAGGCGTGGTCCAAATCCAGCTCCAGCTGCAAGGTGGCCGAGCTCTTTTCCCCACCTCGTTTTGCCAAGGTTGCCGAGGAGCTGGGATACAAGGGCCTTTCTTTTGATCTGCAGCAAGGTTGGGACCTGACCTCTCCGTCGGTGCAGCGGGATGTTAGCTCTGCTCTGGAAGAGGCGAAGCCCGAACTCCTGGTGGTGTGCCCTGAATGCAAACATTGGGGAGGTTGGTACCGCTTGAACCAACACCATCTTTCAATGATCGAACGCCTGGAGAATCAAAGGTATGCCAGGAAACAGGTGGATTTTTGTGTCCAGGAGATCAAGAACCAAATCAAACGTGGGGGCCGTGTGTTGATCGAACACCCATGGAGTTCTGACATGTGGCACTACAGCCCTATGGCCAAGGTCACCAAAAACATGTTCAAATGCCGAGTGGATTTGTGTGCCTACGGGTTGGTAGATGATGCTCAGACCCCAATTTTGAAGCCGACAGCCATCATGGTCTCCCACGCTGACATGAAAGACTTGGCCCACACCTGTCCAGGACATGCCACACGCAGGGTTGTAGCAGGTAAATGCAAAGATGGGGAAAATGTCAGTTGTAAAACAGCTCGATACACTCATGAGTTTTGTAGGAAATGGCTCAGTTGTGTGTGTCCTCGTCCTCAGCTCTGCTCGTTCGCATGCCTGGAGGACCCTGAGGCCCCCGAGTCATTGACACCCTCAGTAATTCCTGAGTTGCCCTGTAGTGTTGAGACGGCTGCAGCCGAAGTGTGTGCCGCCTGCAAAGTTGCTGAGGTACCGGATCGGGAAGTCTTGCAATCGCTCACAAAGTTACATAACAACTTAGGCCACCCCTCAGACCGTGACCTTCTCAGGATTTTAAAAAATGCAGGTGCCAGCAACAAAGCCCTCTCTCTGGCGGCAAATTTTGAGAAGCAATGCACCGTATGCATGCAGCGCAAGCGACCCACGCCTTGTTTGCCTGTTTCTCCTTCACAACACTTAGACTTCAATCATCGTATTGGTCTGGATGTTAAGCTGTTGCCGGGTTGGCAGACAAATCAGCGAGTGAAGTGTTTGAACATAGTTGACTATGCTTCCAATTACCAAGTCATGCTGCCTTTCTATGAAGTGGAAACAGCTGGTGTTTTGAGAACACTCCTCCGAGAGGGTTGGCTCCGCTGGGCAGGTCCTCCAGCTGAGGTCGTGATGGACCCAGCCACCACCAACATGGCCGAAAGCATGATTTCTCCTTTGGAACAGTCAGGGGTCAGGGTTTTGTCAATTGCCGCAGAGGCTCACAATCAATTGGGTAAGGTTGAAAAGCATGGACATTTGTTCGAAGTGATCTTAGGCAAAGTGCTTGAGCAGGTTCAGCCCCAAAGCAGAGAAGAATATGAAGCCTGTGTTTTGCAGACCACCAATAGCAAAAACGAACTTATCAGCGTCAAGGGTCTCAGCCCAAATCAACTGGTGTTCGGCCGAAACCCTCGTGTGCCGGAGGACCTGTTGCAAGACTGGCCATGCCCTGTGGCGGCGTCCTCACCGTTGCATGACGATGCTCATGCCCGTGCCAGAGAGATTAGATCAGCAGCGCGTCTGGCACTGGTCATGTCCCAGGATGACAAATCCCTGAGAACTGCACTCAACGCTCGTCCCAGAACCGAGCGGGAATTTCTGGCGGGGGATTTTGTTTGCTATTGGAGAACCCAAAAGTATCAAAGGGGCACCCGATTGGTTGGGGGTAGATGGTTTGGGACTGCTCTAATCATGGGAAAAGTTGGCCGGAACTTTTTGGTGTACCACCGGAAAAACATGTTCAAAGTGGCCCCAGAACATTTGCGTCATGCCTCCCAGGAAGAAAGACTGGCCGCTCAAACAGATGGCAGAGAGCTCCTGGGTATTGAATCCTTGGTGGAAAAGGGGAAAGAAATGCTAGGCAACCAGTTTGTTGACTTGACGGGACAAGATCGGCCGCCTGATGTACCGGCTTCGAACAGCTCTCAGCCCGCAATTCAGCACACCGAAGACTATTGGATCCAACGGGGGCCGAATCTCCTGTGTCGGGTCCATGTGGAGCCTCGCACGTGTACGTTCATGCCCAGTCCAGTTGACCCAGTAATCAGTAAGTTTCAATTGGATGATTGGCGCTTAACTCATATTTCCCATAACTGCCAAGTCTCACAAGATGAATGGATAGATTCTCCTTGGTCTCATGTTGATGACAGAGAGAAGAAGGTTCAAGAGTCACCCTGGACTGGGGAAACCCGTTTTTGGATCCTGTCGCAGGACAAGCTGGAGCCATCAGCAAAAGAGCTGGTCACAGTTTCTGCGCCTTCTGTCCCCACCGTGGAAAATCTAAGGGATGCGTCCGGTGATGTTGATTCCGAAAGCCCACAAATGAGCAACAACACTTCCAGTCCATATTCCGGGGATACCATTTCTGACCATAAGGCTTCACAACCGAGAGAGTATGGTCCCGTAAGGCTTAGGAATTGGAATAAGGGCCCCAGTAATTTTTTGTTTCGACCAGTCCAGACACAGCCAGAGGATCTCCGAGAGGTGGTGCAGGAAATGGCAGAGGAGCGTAGCTCTGCGGAGAAACGCGCTCAGTCCAGAGAGCCCAGCACAGGACCTCCAGCCAAGAGCTCCCGAATCGAGAGCCCGGAGGACCAATGTCTCTTAGCTGAATGTGCGAGTCAGGACCCAAGCATGAGTTTTGAGACATTTCTTGCGACGTTCCTGAAGAAGAAAATGCAGAAGGAACTTCACCACTCCAACAATCCTTCCGAGCTGCAGAGTCTGATTGATGATTCCAAGAGAGTAGAATGGGAAACCCTCCAAAACGAGAAACAAGCCATACATGTGATTCCTCCTCACGAAGCCGTTTTGATTCGCAAACACAAGCCTGATAGGATCATGTCTAGCCGTTTTGTGATCACAGAGAAGCAGGAAGATCAAACCACGAGGGTCAAATCCAGGTGGTGTTTGAGGGGCCATCATGATCCTGACCTTACTCAAAAGATTTTAGCTGGGAAATGTCACTCACCCACGCTGTCTCAACTCAGTAGGAGCCTCATTTTGCAGCTGATTGTGAGTAACAAATGGATCTTGGGCCTTGGCGATATCAAGGGTGCCTTCTTGGAGGCCAATGTGCTGGAACAAGCCTTGCAGAACCCAGTTTACGCTGAACTCCCTCCAGGGGGTGGGCCTGGAGTAAAACCTGGCAGCCTGGTCCAGATTCTTGGGAATGTGTATGGAGCGAACGATGCCCCGGCAAACTGGTATCATAAATTTGACAAGGTTGCAACCTCTGTTGGCTTTACCAAAAGCAAGTTCGATTCCTGTTTGTACCTTTGCTTCAACTCCGAGGGACAGCTACAGGGGGTTCTTGGTGCTCATGTGGATGATACAATTACGGGTGGGGATGGAGAAGCTTACCTGTCCGCAATTGCCCAATTGAAAGCCAGGTTTCCCTTCCGAAAATGGCGCACAGGCTCTGGAGAATTTTTGGGAACTCAATACTGTCAAGACCCAAGTACTTTCGAGATCACATATCAACAACAAGACTATGCAGAGAGCATTCGACCTATTAGCATCTCTAAGGAAAGGGCTCGTAAGTATTGGCTTCCGGCCAGTGAAAAGGAAGTGGCAGCCCTCAGAGCTGTCAATGGCGCTCTGGGCTGGCTGAGCTCGCAGTCGCGTCCTGACTTGGCCGTGCAAACCTCTCTGTCCCAGCAGAGTTTTCCAGTGCCCACAATTCAGGACCTTTTGCAAGCCAATCAGGCAGTGAGACGGGCCCGACAACAGTCCGATTTGAAGATTACTGTTCCATATATCCCCATACATGACCTCACGGTAGTTTTCTGGTCGGATGCAGCTTTTGCAAATACTTTGAGCATGAAGACACAAGGTGGTTGGCTGTTAGCGTTTACCTCCAAAGCCTTTTCTCAGGGTCATGATGTTCCGATTCACTGCATTGGCTGGAGATCGTACAGACTCCCACGGGTTGCCTCATCAACCTTGAGTGGCGAAGCCCAAAGTTTTTCCGTTGCCTCAGGAATAGCCGAATGGATGCTCTTGGTCCTGTCGGAGGCCATCGATGGTCCCTTCAGCTTAGCCGACGTTGATCAGGTGCTGAAGCGCAGGAGTCCAATTGGGGTAAGTGATTGTAGATCCCTATATGATCATTTAAATTCCTTGGGTAATGGGGGTACTTTAGATGATAAGAGGACTGCCATCGACATTGCCATAATCCGTCAGTCGATTCAGCGATGCGGTTTAGAACCTCGATGGTGTCCCACGGACAGAATGGTTGCAGATGCCTTTACCAAAGATAAAGGTGAACCCCTAGACCTTCTGCGGTCAGTCATCCGCCAGTATCATTACCAGCTAGCCGACGAGCAGGTCGTTTTGGACCGGAAGCAGCAGGAAAAACAGAGACGCCAGTTGAAAGCCAAAGAACGTTCAGTTGAAAACCAACGAACCACCGCAGTCAAACCTGACAGTGAGTGATGAGGGAGTTTAGTCATCTTGTGCTGACTAACGTCCTTTTCAGTTTTGATCGCTGTGTACGAAGTTGCATCAGTTAAGCATAAACCCTGTTTTGTCAAGCCACCAAGCCAGCTTCTCTTGTGTAGTGTTCAGAAAGATGTTTTCTTCGCCTTTCCTTTTGGCAAGCCTGTATGAAACGCAACAATACCAAAAGCAGTCCTTCGGTGATGCATTTTTGTCAAGCCCGCACCGTATAACTTGCCAGCCAAAGATAGTCACCTGATTTTGGCTCCTGTCTGTTTTCCTGCCATGTCTCAGGACGCAGTGTCTGCTGAAGAGTTTCGAGCCTTGAGGGTCACGATGGACCGTTTGAGGAAGTATGGTTTGCAGAGCGCGACGTCTGAAGCTGCTGGAGCAGAAGTGCTGGGAGCTATGGCGGATTCTAGCAAGCGCCTTCGTGATGACTCCATCGCTTCCTTTGACATGGCTTTTGATGATGAGCCTTGGGATTTGCCTTGCGGCGGAGTGCTCACCAGTTCTTCTGCAACTGGTGGCCAGCAAGTGATTTCTCCTAAGGTGCTGAGTTCTCAGACGGTTGAGCTGCCACCAGGTGTTTCTTCGATCAAGGAATGGGGCAAGACTTTGTGTGAGCTGCCGGCTGTAGCACGCCAGAAGTTGTCTTATGAGGCCCTGGCCCAGGACGAGTCCCAAACGGACTATTTGCTATGGATTTTGAAACAAGGGGCATCAAAGGGCCCGCGTGTAGCCGATTTGGCCAATTATTTGCAGGCCATTAAGTTCACTGAAAAGTGCAATGGTCAGTCCATTGGACCGCCCTATCCTGGTTCCAATGTGGTGCGTAAGTTTGCAAGCTGAAAGACAGCTTCCTTTCTCTAATGGTGATGCGCTTTCTCCCAGCGAGTTTTTGCGTGGTCCTCTGTTGTTGTTTTTGTTTGGTTGGTGTTTTGGTGTTGTTTTTGCTGTTTTGCTTTTCTTTGTTGTTGTTTTTCATATTACTGGGAGTTTAAAAGCAGCACCCATTCTTTCCACCTGACTGGGGTCATGTGGCCTTGCGTTTCCTTCAGGTGCGGCGATCGGCGAAGACACTCATGGCTCAGGCGAGACAAAGGAGCAGTCTTAGCGGTGTTGGATCTAGGCAAGATCCGTGGGCCTGGGCAATTTAATATATATATATGAAGACATCTTTGGCCAAAACTTGAGGCACCCCATCTTTGGCCCCATCCAAGTCTCCGGTGACCCGTGCCATCGACGTCCACGTTGCCCACGCTTGAAGGCGCTACGGCCGCGGAGCACCTCCGTTCCCTGGCCTGGCGGAGGCTGAAGTGCAGCCAGGCTTAGAGGTGAACCAGTGGCTATGATGTATCATATATGAAACGATATTCTATACGTATGTATATATATATATACATATATGGATATATGTATATATATATATCCATATATGTATATGTATATATATATATATATGTGTGTATATGTATATATATATGTGTGTATATATATATGTGTATATATATATATATATATGTGTGTGTGTGCGTGTTATCCGCCGACCCCTGCCGACAGCAGGGGGAGCGCGTCAGAGGAGGAATTACCAGCAGCAAGGGCCAAGAAGTCATTACAAGCAGCAAGGGCAAGAAGCAAGAAAACATGAAAGAAGAAGCAAGAAGCAAGAAGCAATTACAGGCAACAAGCGGCAAGAAGCAAGAAACAAGAAGCCAGGAAGCAACAAGCGGCTGGAAGACAGGTCAGAGAAGTCATTACAAACAGCAAGGGCCAGAAGGAAGAAAACAAGAAAGAAGAAGCAAGAAGCAAGAAGCAATTACAGGCAACAAGCGGCAAGAAGCAAGAAACAAGAAGCCAGGAAGCAACAAGCGGCTGGAAGACAGGTCAGAGAAGCAAGAAACAACAAGCCAGGAAGCAACAAGCGGCTGGAAGACAGGTCAGAGAAGCAAGAAACAAGAAGCCAGGAAGCAACAAGCGGCTGGAAGACAGGTCAGAGAGCTAGTTTTCTTGTCGATTCAGAAAGCAACGTTAGGCAGGCGGCTGGAAGACAGCTCAGAGAGCTAGTTTTCTTGTAGGTTGAGAAAGCAACGTTAGGCACTGGGGGCCGTTGCCCGGAGGCTCGGTCCGTCCTTCAGGGCCCTGCTGTTTGGGCGTGGCGGAGGCGCCGTTTGTGAGCCTTGACGGCTGGAAGAGAGCTAGTTTGGGAGCCGTTGCCCGGAGGCTCGGTCCGTCCTTCAGGGCCCTGCTGTTTTGCTGTGGCGAGGGCGCCGTTTGTGAGCCTTGACGGCTGGAAGAGAGCTAGTTTTCTTGTAGGTTCAGAAAGCAACGTTAGGCACTGGGAGCCGTTGCCCGGAGGCTCGGTCCGTCCTTCAGGGCCCTGCTGTTTTGCTGTGGCGGAGGCGCCGTTTGTGAGCCTTGACGGCTGGAAGAGAGCTAGTTTGGGAGCCGTTGCCCGGAGGCTCGGTCCGTCCTTCAGGGCCCTGCTGTTTTGCTGTGGCGAGGGCGCCGTTTGTGAGCCTTGACGGCTGGAAGAGAGCTAGTTTTCTTGTAGGTTCAGAAAGCAACGTTAGGCAGTGGGAGCCGTTGCCCGGAGGCTCGGTCCGTCCTTCAGGGCCCTGCTGTTTTGCTGTGGCGAGGGCGCCGTTTGTGAGCCTTGACGGCTGGAAGAGATCTAGTTTTCTTGTAGGTTCAGAAAGCAACGTTAGGCAGTGGGAGCCGTTGCCCGGAGGCTCGGTCCGTCCTTCAGGGCCCTGCTGTTTGGGCGTGGCGGGGGCGCCGTTTGTGAGCCTTGACGGCTGGAAGCGAGCTAGTTTGGGAGCCGTTGCCCGGAGGCTCGGTCCGTCCTTCAGGGCCCTGCTGTTTTGCTGTGGCGAGGGCGCCGTTTGTGAGCCTTGACGGCTGGAAGAGAGCTAGTTTTTCTTGTAGTTCAGAAGCAACGTTAGGCCCTGGGAGCGTTGCCCGATGCTGCTCTTCCTCCTTCAGGCCCTGCTGTTTTGCTGTGGCGGAGGCGCCGTTTTGTGACCTTGACGGCCTGGAAGAGAGCTAGTTTGGGAGCCGTTGCCCGGAGGCTCGGTCCGTCCTTCAGGGCCCTGCTGTTTTGCTGTGGCGAGGGGGCCGTTTGTGAGCCTTGACGGCTGGAAGAGAGCTAGTTTGGGAGCCGTTGCCCGGAGGCTCGGTCCGTCCTTCAGGGCCCTGCTGTTTTGCTGTGGCGAGGGCTCCGTTTGTGAGCCTTGACGGCTGGAAGAGAGCTAGTTTTCTTGTAGGTTCAGAAAGCAACGTTAGGCATTGGGAGCCGTTGCCCGGAGGCTCGGTCCGTCCTTCAGGGCCCTGCTGTTTTGCTGTGGCGGAGGCGCCGTTTGTGAGCCTTGACGGCTGGAAGAGAGCGAGTTTGGGAGCCGTTGCCCGGAGGCTCGGTCCGTCCTTCAGGGCCCTGCTGTTTTGCTGTGGCGAGGGCGCCGTTTGTGAGCCTTGACAGCTGGAAGAAAGCTAGTTTTCTTGCAGGTTCAGAAAGCAACGTTAGGCAGTGGGAGCCGTTGCCCGGAGGCTCCGTCCGTCCTTCAGGGCCCTGCTGTTTTGCTGTGGCGAGGGCGTCGTTTGTGAGCCTTGACGGCTGGAAGAGAGCTATAGCTATAGTTTTCTTGCAGGTTCAGAAAGCAACGTTAGGCAGTGGGAGCCGTTGCCCGGAGGCTCCGTCCGTCCTTCAGGGCCCTGCTGTTTTGCTGTGGCGAGGGCGCCGTTTGTGAGCCTTGACGGCTGGAAGAGAGCTAGTTTGGGAGCCGTTGCCCGGAGGCCGGGTCCGTCCCTCAGGGCCCTCCCTGCCGTTTTGCTGTGGCGAGGGCGCCGTTTGTGAGCCTTGACGGCTGGAAGAGAGCTAGTTTTCTTGTAGGTTCAGAAAGCAACGATAGGCACTGGGAGCCGTTGCCCGGAGGCTCGGTCCGTCCTTCAGGGCCCTGCTGTTTTGCTGTGGCGGAGGCGCCGTTTGTGAGCCTTGACGGCTGGAAGAGAGCTAGTTTGGGAGCCGTTGCCCGGAGGCTCGGGCCGTCCTTCAGGGCCCTGCTGTTTTGCTGTGGCGAGGGCGCCGTTTGTGAGCCTTGACGGCTGGAAGAGAGCTAGTTTTCTTGTAGGTTCAGAAAGCAACGTTAGGCAGTGGGAGCCGTTGCCCGGAGGCTCGGTCCGTCCTTCAGGGCCCTGCTGTTTTGCTCAATGGGAGATATGCCCAGGGGTCGGCGGCAGGGGGCGGAGCCCTTTAATTCCGGCGATGCCGTCCGGTGGTGGTGGCTAAGCATAGCTTTAGCTACCCGGGGGCGCGCCCCTGCCGCCGACCCTCTGCCGACCCTCCCCGAAAATCCTTCAGCCTGCTGGGGTTTTCACGTTTTTGGGGGTTCGGGGTGGGAAAAAAGATTGTAAAATTTGAAGATGCGTTTTGGAGGTCCTAAAATCGGAGAAAAAAAATGCCGTTTTGACACATTTTTCGGGCGATTTTTCGCTTTTCGGAAGTCACAAAATGCTGTAAATTACAACATTTTTGCGTTTTAACGTCGTTGGCGGGAGCCATGCACAAACGCAGAAAATGCTGTAAATACCAGTACTTTTTGGACCCGAGATGCACAAAACACTGCAAATACCAGTGTTTTTGAAAGCCAAGGAAAAAAACACTGTAAATTATAGCATTTTTGGCGGGTTGATCGCAAAAAATGCTGGCATTTACAATGTTTCTGCAATTTCAAGCAAACGTGGAAGGCACGAAACACTGTAAATAGCGGTGTTTTGGCAACTTTTGGACGCCGAAACGCTGGTATTTACGCAGTTTTTTGCTTGTGACGAGGCCGTGACGGGGCCACTCCCCCTGTAAATTACAGCATTTTTTGCACTTTTTGAACCGATTTTTTGTCTTGCTGCATGCAACAAACGCTGGTATTTACACGTTTTTCAAAAAATCGAAGATCGTGATGTGAACGAAACTCTGTAAATAAGAATGTTTTAGCCACTTTCGGGGACTAAAACTGTTGTATTTACACGGGTTCTTGCCATCTCACAGCGCAAAATGCTGTAAATTACAACACTTTGTGCGCATAGGCATAGGCCAACATAGCCTCAAGATGGGCCAACATAGCCCCAAGCTGGGCCAACATAGCCCCAAAATAGGCCGCCGACCCTCAGCATGTCATGTTCGCAAGTTCAGATGACATCCCCCTCTCTCTTTCCCTCCCCCGACCCCTACCGGCGTCACCGGTGTGCGAAGCTCTACAATACTCATTTATGTATGGATTTATCTATTTATTTATTTCTTATTTATGTAGATATTGTCAGATTATGTCATACATCACCAATTTTTGAAATTGGACTGGCTGGTTGTCGCTGCAGCATTTCCTGTCCATCTTTCCAGAAGGGGGCGACCAAAAGACATGCACCGCAGACCCCTGAAGCTGCCTTGGATCTCTGCCCAAAGAGCTGCCTTGCCACGCTTTGGGACGTCGAGTCGCTTTCGGTGTCCGTGGCGCATTGGGACCCGAGCAGTTCGAAAGTCCTTCACCGGATCACATCCATCCATCTCAAGTCCGTCCCACATCCTTCGTTGCAACCTTTGGCAACTTTGAGCCTTTCTCTGATATTCCAAGGCTGGAGATGCAGTGAATAGTAGTGATGGGCATCTGAACGATCATGATGAATGATGTTCATCAAACCCCAAACATCAGGTCCGTGGAAGAAGGCCACCAATGTTCCAACAGAGACTCATGCCATGGAAACGCCGTGTTCCTTTCGCCCCTGTGAGCTGTGCCTTGCTATAAATCCCCAAGTCCCAAACACCACGTTTTGCGGCCACCTGCAGTTCATCGTCGAAGTCCTGCAAGGACCCACCAAAAATATCACGGGATGCCACGAGGTCACCCCACAAATCGAGCACAGCAAGTCCTCGAAAGCCCATCTTAATACATCCATGTCGAGATAAACCAAATTGAAGTACAAATTGATGGATTTATAGTACAATATAACCACATTATAACATATTATAACTATAAATAGGCCCAAATGGACCAAGGATTTCGCAACTCTTGAGACCCCCCCACGTGAAATCATTGCTCCTTCAAAGTCGCTGACCTCACCTGTTATGCCGAAGGCGGATTTCGCAGGATTTCTCGGGGTTTTCGGTTGAGATTCCCCCTTTAAAACTTTAAAACATAGAATGATTTGGAGGTGATTAATTGGATTGTGCTCATTCAACATCATTCAACATCATTCAACGACTTTCGCAACGCGGTGTGCCTCCCGACCATACAAGCTGAAACAGCCGCGCGCCAGGAGGAGGTCAGCCTGGCGGGCTTCAGTTGGGCCAGGACCCAGGAACTTCTAAAACAACCCGCACCTCGGATGCATCAACCTTACTTTCTCTCAAGCCATCCAGGTCATCCAGGTGGTGGTGAAGGACTGGGTGCCATGCCACACGGTAAGGAAGATCCTTCATGTACCTCAGGTCCGTCAGGCCTCACCAGTTGCATATAGATTTAGATCCTCTTGAGCCTCATGGTTCATACGCCCCGGATGGAACAGAACTCATGGCTCACGGAAATAGGTCGGGGCACTCCGCATCATCACTGTCATTTCCGAAGGTCAAGACGGCCTGCGAGGGGCAAAGTGGCAAGTTGCCAGTCACTGACAGTCGTTCAGCTGATGATTCTGTGCTGTGGTCTTTGACCAAAACCCGGCAAACACAAACTCATCGCAAAAAAACTTCCATAATTCAAGTTCCTGGTACTTTTCTGAAGATAGATTGTGAGGGACAACCCCACCACCAGCCACCTTGGCTTCCCTGATGGATGACACATCGCTCATGACCTCGTGACAAATGCCAGGGCGGCTCCAACCAAGGAACCCGATCACTGAGGCAGAGGCGTTGCACGTACCTGCAGCGGCTGAGCCGCCAAGGCAGTCCGAAAATTGCATTGGGTTGCTGTGCGTTTTCCCCCAACATTTGCAGCTTGAAAATGGTTGAAACGTGTTGAAACATCGGTGCAGGGACGGCCTGCCAGAATCTTCCAGGAAACCTCGCCGCTGGTGATGAGATCCAGGTAGAGGTCACTACCTCAGCTACTGATGGATCCCCACCTTCAGGATAATCCCCCAGATAGTGCTGCTTGATGTGAAAACCTTTCAAGATTTGGATGTAATGCCCAAAGAATAAGGGTTGGAAGATTAGTTTCCGATTGAAAATATCATGTTTACCGCTGTTGATGGTGTTTTCATCTCAATTTTCTACCAAGGATCTGCTGTTCAACGGATCAACGATATCGCCATCCCAAAAAGGAATGTTGGTAAACAACGCCCAACATGATGCCATTGTCTTACCAACCTCCCAACTGTAATAACCTTATAAACTTAGTACATGGTTTTTGGTCATCCATCCCATAATGGGAATTGGCGTGAAAGGTGTGTAAATTATATACGAATATACATACATACATGTACATACATGTATTTATATATATATACACGTATGCATGCATGCATGTAGGTAGGTAGGTACGTTTTTACGTATGTATGTATGTTATGTAATGTATGTAATGTATGTAATGTATGTAATGTATGTAATGTATGTAATGTATGCAATGTATGTAATGTATGTAATGTATGTAATGTATGTAATGTGTAATGTATGTAATGTATGTAATGTATGTAATTGTAATGTAATGTAATGTAAATGTAATGTTAATGTAATGTAAATGTAACGTAAATGTAATGCAAATGCAATGTAATGTAATGTAAATGTAATGTAATGTAAATGTAATGTAATGTAAATGTAATGTAATGCAATGCAAATGTAAATGTAAATGTAAATGTAATGTAAATGTAATGTAAATGTAATGTAAATGTAATGTAAATGTAATGTAAATGTAATGTAAATGTAATGTAAATGTAAATGTAATGTAAATGTAATGTAAATGTAATGTAAATGTAATGTAAATGTAATGTAAATGTAATGTAAATGTAATGTAAATGTAATGTAAATGTAATGTAAATGTAATGTAAATGTAATGTAAGTGTAATGTAAGTGTAATGTAAATGTAATGTAAATGTAATGTAAATGTAATGTAAATGTAATGTAAATGTAATGTAAATGTAATGTAAATGTAATGTAAATGTAATGTAAATGTAATGTAAATGTAATGTAAATGTAATGTAAATGTAAATGTAATGTAAATGTAATGTAAATGTAATGTAAATGTAATGTAAATGTAATGTAAATGCAATGTAATGTTAATGTAATGTAAATGTAAATGTAAATGTCAATGTAAATGTAAAATGTAAAATGTAAATGTAATGTAAATGTCAATGTAATGTAAATGTCAATGTAAATGTAATGTAAATGTAATGTAAATGTAATGTAAATGTAATGTAAATGTAATGTAAATGTAATGTAAATGTAATGTAAATGTAATGTAAATGTAATGAATGTAATGTAAATGTAAATGTAAATGTAAATGTAATGTAAATGTAAATGTAATGCAATGTAATGTAAATGTAATGTAAATGTAAATGTCAATGTCAATGTCAATGTAAATGTAAATGTAAAATGTAAATGTAATGTAAATGTAAATGTCAATGCAATGTAAATGTCAATGCCAATGTAATGTAAATGTCAATGTCAATGTAATGTAATGTAAATTCAAATGTAAATGTAATGTAAATGTAATGTAAATGTAATGCAATGTAATGCAATGTAATGTAAATGTAATGTAAATGTAAATGTAAATGTAAATGCAATGTAATGTAATGTAAATGTAATGCAATGTAATGTTAATGTAATGTAATGTAAATGTAAATGTAAATGTAATGTAAATGTAAATGTATATGCAAATGTAAATGTAATGTAAATGTAATGTAAATGTAATGTAAATGTAATGTAAATGTAATGTAAATGAATGTAAATGTAATGTAAATGTAATGTAAATGCAAATGTAAATGTAATGTAATGTAATGTAAATGTAAATGTAATGTAAATGTAATGTAATGTAATGTAAATGTAAATGTAATGTATGTAATGTAATGTAAATGTAATGTAAATGTAATGTAAATGTAATGTAAATGTAATGTAAATGTAATGTAAATGTAATGTAAATGTAATGTAAATGTAATGTAAATGTAATGTAAATGTAATGTAAATGTAATGTAATGTAAATGTAATGTAAATGTAATGTAAATGTAATGTAAATGTAATGTAAATGTAATGTAAATGTAATGTAAACGTAATGTAAATGTAATGTAAATGTAATGTAAATGTAATGTAAATGTAATGTAAATGTAATGTAAATGTAATGTAAATGTAATGTAAATGTAATGTAAAGGTAATGTAAATGTAAATGTAAATGTAATGTAAATGTAATGTAAATGTAATGCAATGTAATGTTAATGTAATGTAAATGTAAATATAAATGTAAATGTAAATGTCAATGTAAATGTAAATGTAAAATGTAAAATGTAAATGTAATGTAAATGTCAATGTAATGTAAATGTCAATGCCAATGTAATGTAAATGTCAATGTCAATGTAATGTAATGTAAATTCAAATGTAAATGTAAATGTAAATGTAATGTAAATGTATATAATATATGTATATGCATATGTCGGGCCCGCAAAAAAATTGGTCAACACCACCTGAGGGCCCCACTGACCCCCAGGCGCTCCAGTGCTGCTTGATTCGTGGCACATCGCCTGGAGGAGTTCGACAAAAAGAGCACCGGCTTCCTGCGCGCCAAGCACCACGAAAAACGGTGGGTTCATTGGGAAACCAATGAAACCAATGGAAAGGACAAGAAAATCCAATCCTGTTGGCTATTGTTCATTCATTTGAGGATGTTAGCAATTAGGAAATGATATAAAATCAGCGATGTTGTTGCCATAAATCTAAATTATACTAAATTCATAAGACTTGTAAGATACACTCAATTACCAGCCAAGTGCTGTTGTTTTTCCATTGTCAACTTGGGTTTCACCCTGTTCACCGAAAAATGGAGATATACCCTGTTTCCAAGAATTATGCTTGACATATGTTGCAACTATGGCTAAAGGATGGTAATACGGTCTGATTTTACCATTGGTTACCATGCATCTCCACACTCCTTTGCCATTCTGAAGTTCATCAGTTCATGCCCTACTCATAGCCAAATGAAAACAGTTCGGCTGGAGAAGTTGCCATTTTGTCATCACCCTGAAGTGTCTTGGTCTGAGGGACTCCCCGGACCCCGTTTTTGGGCCGAAGCTCTTGGGAGCGGATCCTAAAAACTAGATGAATGCAGTCACTGCCCATGCGCTTAAATTCTTGTGACAAATACTACGGCCAGTTCATTCCCATGTTTTCCAACCTGAAAAAAAAAACTGTTTTAACACGGATTCACCATGATTATATAACCTGGATTAACATGAATCAACATGGATTCACCTCTTGTAAAAAAACCTCTGGATTTTCACTTCTGCAGAGCTTTTGGATTCAAAAAGTGACTGGTCTGACTGGTCCCCGGAAATTTCACCTGCCTCAACTTTTTCAGTTCCACCAGGCACTCTTTGGACCAGGGAAATGCCACCGAACCATTGTGCACCACGCCCCACCTGCGAGATTTGTTGGCCACCAGGAAACCAAGATGGCAAGGGAAAAAAAAAAAACATCTTTGGTATGCAAATCATCTAATCGTCAAAACATCATCATCATCATCATCATCATCATCATCGAGGAAGAAAAGCGGAATATCGGGTATCTTGTAACAGCATGTATGATTAGAAACCCCGGATCGCACATTTGGAGCCGGCGTTGCCATTTCTTGAGATCCAATAGTCACGATCCATACTTCATTGGCAAATTGGGCAACGTCAGCCTAATCATAAGAAGTGCATAAAAAATGCAAGTTTTTAAGTTATAACTTAAGTTACAACATCTTATAAATTCTATCAAGACAAATACCATTTATATACACTTCATATACCATGATATGCCACGTATCCCCTTTTATAAATACCCATTTTGGTCACCATCCGCGATTTGGCTTCGGCTGGATCCATCCCCTTGGGCCCTGACAAATCAAAGATGAAAGCCTTGGGCCCGTCGAGCAACGGCGACGGCTGTGCCGGCTGGTCATTGAACATGTGGAGAAAAATCAAGAGAACGGCTGCTTGATGATAAACTGTAACATCATTCTGCATGATGGGTATGCCACGTGCATAAATAATATAGTTAATATATATATATATATATATATACAAATCAAGGTACAGAACAAAACTCACAGAACCAACCACAATTGGAATAATTAGTCTAATAGACTATCTATCATTATCTATCTATATCTCTCCCTCTCTCTCTGCTTCTAAAGACGGCTCAAAAAGGGTGCTGACCAACCAGCCCGAGCTCCGCACATCGTAATCCTCCGCGATCTCCCGAAGACCCTCAAGCCACTTGACATTTCCCATCCCAGGTGGTCCTTGCAGCTGGGAAAAAGTTCACGCGGCTGGAAGCATGAGGAGCATGACCAATAGGATTTTCCAAACAGGCCTAGCAAAGCATGGCATCTTTTTCCAACTTCAAACTTCCAATTCGTGTTTCTCATTTTCCTTTCATGGAGTGTTGAAATCAACCACTGTTTTTCACCAGAGTCTCTTCTAGGTGTAGCAAAATCATTCACCGCGTAGCTAAATCCTTGTGCTCTCGGCAGCTTTCCCTTCCGGCGCCGTAGCACACTGCAGACCGCGGCAGCCAAAACAGCCCCTGAGGATCAGTGGAAAGAGATGGAAAGAGGGGAAGGATAAACCCGGCCCTGAAGCTGATGGACATGTTCTCCTCCCAGCGTTTCATTGAACATCCCAGATTTGTTCCATTGTGTTTACCCTCCGGGAATCAAACGTGGCCATGGAAAATCGCCTGTAAATATCAACCATGGAGGTTTTTTTGGGGGAAATGGTCTATAAACGGGTGATTTTCCATTGCCATCTTTGTACTTTTCCAACTCCATCCATCTCCATCCTGTTGGGATCCCCTAGACCGTTGGACCCATCGAAGACAATGCTGGTGCCTTTTCCAGCCGTTCTTCGGCTCGAAAATGTGGCATGCCGCGAGTCACTGCTCCGTCGGAACCTCATCCGATGTTTGATTTTTTTGTTCATGTATATATATATATTATATATATTATATATATGTGTGTGTGTTATATTATATATATAATGTACAAATGTATGTGTGTATGTATGTGTGTGTGTGATACTTTTATATTTTTACAGTTTGCATATATACTGAATATGTGTCCGTTTGCTTTTGTGTGAGTATGTGTCTCACCAACTAGTCGTACATGTGCATTGGAAAAATGTGTATTTGTGTGTGTGTGTGGGGGGCCACATGCTATCCACTTGGATCTGCACATATATTTCTGCGGTACCCTGCTTTAAGTGTGGCTCCAAACCCTGCAACAAAAATAACAAATGGGAAAATTCCATGAACTCGATCATACCGAACTATATGTATGCATTCATATTGAGTAGACTAGATCGTAGTAGATCCAGAAAATACCAATTATATGAAAGTCAGAAAAATATACCATTACATACAAAATACCAAGTATATATATAATCCTGCATACCTACCAATGTCATCGGCTGTTCGTGTCTTAGGCCGAGACTGCCACCCTGGTGCTGGCCGTGTCCCATGGCGCCATGGGGGCCACGGCTTCACGCCCAGCCGGGCGCTGGAAGCAACGGCGCCCTCCATTGAAGCCTGGAAGATCCTGGAATCTTACCCACCACGTGGAAAATAAATGATATGTATATAACTGTATACATACATAACATAACATGACATGACATGACATGACATGACATTACATTACATTACATCATGCATGTTTGTGCTCGTATTGAAGTAAATATTGTAACTACTAACTACAGTATATACCATATTATATAATGTTATAGTTTCCAAATGTTTCCAACAAGAAAGTCATTTTCCAATTGCTTACCACATGTTCCAACCCTCTCTTAGCGATTTTTCAGGGAGTTCCATGTTGATTTCCCATGATTTTCCAGGGTATTCGGTATTCTTGTGTTTTTTCCAGCTCAGCTTGAAGAGTCCAAGCCGGCCACGGGTCGCCAGCTAACTGGGATCAGCCAACACCGTTGAAATCCTAGCAACCAAATGACCAAAGCTGAAAATTAAAGCTGGAGGTCTGGAAGTTTCTTATTAAAAAAAAACACTTTTGCCAACGATGTCCAATTCGTCCGCATGTGCGTGTCTTTGAGACATCTCTCTCCGGTTTTTTTGCTCTTACGCCGCCCTCAAAGTTGTGATGAAGCAGCAGAATCAGGAACCCATCTGATCAAAAAAAACATCCTGATTCACTGTCACCGATCATTGCTTCTGGTAAGTCCATCATGAATGGAAGATTTCCACCCAAAAGCATCCTCACATTTGGATACATTTAATGTGGGTTCCTGGAAACATTCCCTAACCTTACGTCTTTTGAACTGTGCAGGTGTGACACATAGGCACCAAAGATCAGGCATTGGCCTTCTCCCAGATTTTCTTCGCATCACTCTGCACATCCCTGCACATGGTTCATTGGGGGTTCCCCATGCAGCCCGCTAGACAGCCAGCGAGCAAAAGCAAGCTGTGCAGCCTTCTGTTTGGCGGTTGTGAAACAAAAATCAGCAAATTCTGTCTGTACAGCGCTGGTTTCCTTTACATTGACTTCAAGCACATGTCCCCAATCTTTGCCACGGTTTTGAAGAGGCTTCAACATGGCTTCAACGCTTGGAAAAACCAGCACAAATGGACGCACCATTCACAAGTCTCAATCCACACTGGCCTCAGTTCACAAATCTGCCGTGAAACCCTGCCACCAAAAGCTTCCATGACCTCCATAAAACTGACCTGGCGATATATCATTGTGTATGTTATGTGGTCTACACCTATATATATATACACTCTATGTGAATCATTATCTATACATATCTATATATACATATAATATATATATATATATTATATATATTATTATTATACTTAATATATATATAGAGAGAGAGAGACAATACACAGACTTCCCGAACAAAACTCCTGCGCCAAGGCGCCGTCACACTGCCAGGCGTTCCAGCAGCTGTTTCACCTCAGCAATCCGCGCCACATCCTCCAGGTGCTGCCGCTCACGGCGCCTGTCAGCATCAGCTGCGGATTTCACCAATGAAATGATGAGTAATGGGATTTCACCCATGGGATTGACACGGTGAAATGATGAATAACATTGAATAACTAAGTCTATATGTTGATTTTTTGTGTGGCATCATATTGACAAGTGTTGAGATATGGAAAAAATGAAAAAATACGAAAGAAATGAAAAAATAAGATTTCACGCAGGAGTACGATACTTGGCCGCTGGCTTGTGGCAAACTCACATGGCTCCCAGTGCAACCTGACCTCCCAGATCCTCCCAGCAATCAACAGGTAACCCCAGCGCACGCCTCAAGTCTTCCCACTCCACAGCCTCCTGTCGGGCCTGCATGGGTAAAAATCAATATGTTCAATCCATCTGCACCCTGAAAAAATGAGAAAATGAGAAAATAAAACAAAAGATTTGATTTGAAGAATATTGAAAATATGATATGAATTAAGATCAAACCTGGCAAACGGAGCTGACAAATTGTCACCGGCGCATCTTCGGGAGAGTATACTATTCACAATGATTCATATGCATAGTTAGCAAAAGTGTTCTTCTTCATATTGTCACTCGGTCGCATGTGACCCTTCAGCTGTGTATCTCATCTCCAAAGTGTGAATCAACTGCTTTGAATCCCACTTCACCCGCTGTCCTGGTCCTCCAAGGTTTTTGTAGTGACCAAGACCTGCCCAGCACGTCTTCACGTCTGGGAGTCTGGGAGATGGGGATGGCGATCCCAAACGTAACTCGATGGATCTGCTAACTTCTCAAAAGAAAAACAGGTCGCTCTGGTGACCCGTCAATTCGCATTGCTTGGCTTCACACTGCCTGGCAGGACCTGCCATCCAAAACACCGGTTCGTTCCCAGTACCACCTGCTTGGGCGGTAGGAGCTTCGGCTTCGGGATGTTCTTCGCAAACTGCATTGCCTGGCAGCCGGCTTGGTATGGAGTGGATGAGACCCTGCATGCCTCAGCAAACGCCCTGACTGATCATAAACGCTATAATATACATATCTATACATATCTATACATCACATAATGCTTTATCATGCATCTCTTTCCCAACTCCAAATCTTGTCACCTTTCTTGGTCCACACCCATGTTCCATCATGTTCCATCATGTTCCATAGTCACAACTCTCAGAATCCCAACCTGTCCCCATCTTTTTCCAAGCGTTCCAGCACCTGTGCCAACTCCCATGGCACCGGCGCCTCCACTATGAGTTGCTGCCCTTGAAGGTCCAGAAATTGGACGCCACGACAGTGGAGGAACAGCCGCTCCACCGGCGCTTCGCTGTGGCCATAGGTTAAATCCCCAAGCAACGGCCGGCCCAGGCTGGCCAAATGCACACGAATTTGATGTCGTCGCCCAGTTTTGGGCCAAACTTTCAGATACATCAACTCAGAGTTGGAAGAGTTGGAATCGATGGGCGAATATCTCTCAACGACCTCGTAAAGGGTCATAGCCTCCATGGACGCACCGCTGATGCCCCGAGCTGAGCTGCCCTCTTCGTACACCTCGCTTTGCCAGGTGTCGTCGTCAATCTGCACGCTTTGAAGAGGTGCTGAGATGTTCCCTGCCATCCAACTCTGTATGGTCAAAGTATCAGCCATGCTCATGAAAGATGTATTGACACATTGATTTTTTATTGTCTGCGCACATGAGGGGTGTTGAGGTGCAGTGGCTTGATACCCTTAGGGTTTACTTTGGTGGAAAGGCCGGTAGAGCAATACCTTTCAGGTTTGAACCAGGTGGTCATGCAGTCGTGCAAAAACGAACCGCTTGAATGGACCAAACCGTACACCTTCCACATCCAAACAGACTTGGATTGTAATTCAAAGTAGAAGAAAACATACAGCAGCCAAGGCATCCAACCTCGTGTTCCAACTTCTCCAAGTGCTGGACCCTCACAGAGACACAGATATTCCTTGCGAACCAGGCGCCCAGCGAACTGTGCTCTCACCCAATGATCTGCCGGTGAGTCCTCCCCAATGGCCAGAGGCAGAACACCTGAAGTTGGATAGTCCAGCCGTGAGACAATTGACAGCTCCACCTGCAACTGGGCCGTCAGCCGGGCCACGAAGTCTTCCGTGCTGATCCCGGAATCCTGGCGGAGTCCAACTGAAAACCAGTTGGTCAGTTGATGGGTTTTACGATGTTTTACGGCGCCATGGAAACGAGAGCACTGAGAGCACCAGTTCAGATTTCTTGGACCGCACGTGCACTTTTCTAAAAATGGCTGGCTCGTCCAGATCACATAGATTTTGGGTGCCAACTCCACTGCCCTGCCCCCCTCCCACCTTGCATGCAACGATGATCCCAGGTCGACTGCTCAGAACCTCTGGGTGCGACGGCACCACCGGCTGCTGCCCATCAATCTTCCACAGGCTGCGGAAAGCATCTAACAACATCAGCCCGGAACCCTCACCTGCACAGCAGAGCTGGGCCGATGGGGGTTCAAATATGGCTATGGAATGTTATGGATGTTATGGGTATGGTATCATCCTTTATCATAGGATATCTATCAATACCTATGGTATCCTATGGTTATGGATGTTATGGGTATGGTTATCATAGGTATTGACCCAGCCCTATCTGTTCAGCTACCGTTTACAGCGGCCTTTCTCCTTCACGAGCGCGTGCACCGCAGATCCCACGTGCATGGCTGACGGCATCTCCTGCTGCTTCAACATGTGATCCAACACCTGCAAGCCAACTTCCCATTGGCCTGAGGTTGCACAACAAATGCGTCAGAAGACCAGAAAGAAACTTGGGGAAATCCAAGAACGACTTGGCGATTGCAATGATTGTAATGGGTTTGCAGGACAAAATGTCTCCGCTTTCCAAAATGGTCTGTTCTACTAGGGCCATCCTGGTTTCGGGCTCCAGAACCCACATCCCAGGCCGAACAAGTCCCAGGAACTTTCCCTCTCGCAAGCACTGAGAAGACCTTGATAGGTCACGCAATTGGGTAACTCGGAGCCTCCAAGCTCCATCTGATTGAAGATGGACAGTGCCAAAGCCCACTGGCCACCCTTCTCACATGCACTCACCACTGCATTATACGTGATGAGATCAGGGCTCACCAAGGCAGAGGCACTTGCCTGGGAAAAAGCTGAAAAGATGCGTGGCCTGCGTGGCCTCGAGTCGTCATCTTGAGACAACCTCTCTCTGGACACACTGCGACCAACTGGACCAACTGGACCAACTGGACCACCAGCTGGCAACATCTGAGAGAAGATTTCCAGTGCCATCTGCCAGTGCTGTGTGCATGCAGCCACTGCAGCATTGTAGCTGATCACATCGGGCGTCAGAGATGTGGATGGCATTTGCCACAACAGCTCCACGGCCGCCTGCCACTGGGCTGCCTTGCCACATGCCGTGATGGCTGAGTTGAAACTGATCTGGCTCACTTCCAAAGAGCGGCGCAAGATTTCACCTGGTGGCTTACCCCAAAAAATGCCGAAACTGTAAGGGCTCATGTATCATTCCCGTCACAGAGGTGGAAAAGTCTTTAATTAAAATATTTGAGAACATGAACCAGGTGGATGGTTTATCACTTATATCAATGCCCCTTATGTTTCCACCAGGGACACTGATTCTTGGTAAAAGAAATCTCCCATCTTGTTCTGGCTGGTGGTGTCTAACCCATCCCCAAAATATGAAAGTCATTTGGAATCATCATCCCGGGGCCCAAGAAGGGAACAAGTCAACAAAAACCCAGGTTTTCTGGTGATATTCTCATTTGTAATGTATAGTATACATATTGATGAAAATCCCCATTGCTGAACCAAGCATTCACTAGTTTCAACCCCAACATTGGTTTGAATGGTTAATGTACAGGAAACCACAGTTTTGTCATCCAAATCAAGGGGGGCTCCTGTACCTTTTCCCCTCACCAGAACCATCATCCATTTCTCGGGTTTCAACATCAAAATAAATGGATAAGGGAAATCTAGAAGAAACTCCAGTTTTTTCCCACTGGCTAAACTCTGAAGGTGTCTGGTTAAAATTCTCCGTTCAAACGATTCCTGGAACAAAAGTGAGTTATTGCTCGCCACAAAAGAAGTCGACCAAAACAGCACGACTTGGGGTGGGGCTAAACCGGTTCTGGATAATGTGGTTGACCCTGCACTAAACCTCCCATTTGGGAATGGTTTGTTCATCCTTTTTTTATCACTCGTTTATGCTAACATTACCCTCTGGTAGACTAACATAGCTATGGAAAATCACCACTTCAATGGGTAAATCATCTATAAATGGATCATTTTCCATAGATTCCATAGCAATCAATCAAAACACCGAGAATGAGAAGATAAAGGGACTCTTTATCATTGGCGCCACAAGTGTGATCACCTGCACAAGTCACTGAGGCAACTGAGGCTGATCCTCCATGCCCCAGGGCTCTCGCAGCTGATGGCGATGTTAAAACAGATCAGGTCTGGCTGCAGCGACAAATGCGGCAACTGGGCCAGCAACTGGAGGACACTGCGCCATTCGTTGGCGTCCTAGGGATGTTTTTTTGATAGATCGGTGGTGTCATGGAATGTTTATGGGATTCATATGGTTTCACATGCTTTACCAAGATTTAACATGGTTTAATACTTCAAAAAGATGACCAAAATCTTTAGTTCGCTGGAGGTGGAAAAATACAAAACTAACCAAAACTTGTGATTTGTTGGGCCTTCAACTTTTACCCATGCCCTCCTGGCAAGCTGACATCACCGTGCCCGCAATGATGCTGGAGGGCACGATGCTGGCACCACACATCTGCGCCAGCAGGGCCACGGCCAAGGGCCAGCTGCCCACCGCTTTGGCGCTGCCAATCATGGCATTGTAGCAGATGGCATCGGGACTCGCTTGACTTTGAGACATGGACTGAAACAGCCGCAAGGCTTGAACCCAGGCACTCGTCTTTTGACACGCCCGCAGGGCAGGCATGTAACACAAAACATCGGCCACTTGTCTTGCTGCGCGCATCTGCGACAGAATCTTTATGGCCAGCGGCCAGCTGCCCCTCCTCTCACAGACTCCAAGCAAAGCGCTGAAATGAAAAAGGTTCACCTTGGCCAGTCCTGCTCCATCTTGCAATACATCCAGCACCTTCAGTGCCACATCTGGACAGCTCAGACCTTTCAACAGCGCCGTGATGCTTCGTGGATTTGAGACCAACCTCTTGAGCTGAGGCTGCAGGACCTCCTTGACATGTTGAGTAGGGGTATGTTCATTGAATTCCCGCAGTTTTGCAAGCGGATCTGATGAAGGTCTTGGCTGCATGGCCGCCCGAACAGGCCGCCCGAACAGGCCGCCCGAACAGGCCACCCTACGGAGACATCTTGAGCGGAAAATGCATTTGCGCGGCACCTCCCTCACTGCAACAGGGATACGACCAACACACCATTAGGAAAAGAATCAAAGCAACCAGCAAGCATGAGCGTTCCACAAATCAAAGCGTTTGAGAGAATTTACTCTTCCACCTTGATACTTTGCAATTCACGATAGTCACACAGTTCCATTGCCATAGATGTTGAATCCCCATTTTGGAGGGCAACAGTGGCACAACGACCCCTTCCCACCCCCGGATCCTTCGCTCTTGCCGTCGGCTTGGGGTCTGCCTTTGGCTCTTGCTTTGGCCTGAGCCATGAGAAGGCATCTTGCAACCACCGTGTTACTGTATTTGTTTTAATGCTCCCTGTTACTGTTTCCATGAAGAAAATGTGCGCACCAAAATGTACATATATATATGTGTGTGTGTATGTATATATGTATGTATGTATGTATGTATGTATGTGAGTATGTATGTATGTATGTATGTATGATCATGTATGTATGTATGTCTGTCTGTCTGTCTGTATGTATATGTATATGTATATGTATATGTATATGTATATGTATATGTATATGTGTATGTGTATGTGTATGTGTATGTATGTATGTATGTATGTATGTATGTATGTATGTATGTATGTATGATCATGTATGTATGTATGTATGTGTATGTATGTATGTATGTATGTATGTATGATCATGTATGTATGTATGTATGATCATGTATGTATGTATGTATGATCATGTATGTATGTATGTATGATCATGTATGTATGTATGTATGATCATGTATGTATGTATGTATGTATGATCATGTATGTATGTATGCATGCATGCATGCATGCATGCATGTATGTATGTATGTATGTATATGTGTGTGTGTGTGCGACAATGTATATATATATAAATAGATATAGGTTCGTGTATATATATATATGTATATAGGTTTGATGTGAAATATATATATATACATCTATATTATGCGAATCGGGGATTGCCTACCCGATTATGTTCCAGTAGATGATGTTGAGGGTAAATGTTCCAGTGACGACTTCACTCGGGCGACAGCTTCCGCATAGCGCTTCTTTACTCCGTTGCTGCAGTGGGTCTTGAGCCAAAGAGGCCAGTTTCATGTACCCCTTCGGCGTTGGATCTTAGAGTGTCTAATTGTGATAATATACACTGATCCATAGCCTACACTCTATTCGCACCCCCCACGCACAGCCAACTTTGTTGGCTGCGCGCAAAGGAGTGTCCCTTAAACTGATCCACTACACTCGCAGCTGTTCATTTATTGAATTATGGAGAGCTAAAGTCCGTTCAGAACTTCATATCTACATGGCGGCTTGCTACAATCTCTACCAAAAGATACAGGTTCTGCTCACGTGCATGTAGACACGACGTAGTCGGTGTCTAGCATTGAGGTTCATCCGATGTGGCGTAGCCAGCATGGAGTCTCACTCAAGCATGTGAATTAAAGAAATCAAAACACAAAGTTGACTATGGAATTAGAAGTTTACCTTCCCATCCCTTCGTCGGTTGAGATGTAGACCGCTGTAGAAACTCAGCGTCTCATGCAATGATGTTCAAAAAAAATGTGTGGTTCTAAATTAGCCGGCTCAGAGTCCTCTCAGAAATCATTCAAAATGAAGTAGAGGTAAATCTCGAGCAATGATTGCATCCCCGCATCGCCAGGTTCAATCAGGACCTATGCAGAGGTCAGATCGCTTAATCATCTATATCCCCATCCATAGTATCCCTGTTGGTTCCAGTCTCCGCCACGGTGTGAATAAGATTTTCCACCTTTTCCTTGGTCTTTTCCACCCTTCTTTGGCGGGGTCACTGGAGCTTGTTTTGGCGGAGGAGCGGTTTCAACTGTTCTCCATGTTGCTGACGATGATGCTTTCGCTTTTGACACTCTCCCCAGTGCTGGTGCTGCTTTCGGGGCTGCTTTCGACTTGCCAGCGGCTGGGTTAGCACGTTCACGATCAGCAGGAGTTGGGGCATCAGCAATCGCAAGTATGTGAGCTTCTGTCATGTGGATGCCCCACCTTGGTCGTTGATCTTCCCGTTGCTTGATGTGATTGTAGTCATCGATTGCATCATATAGCTTCTGGAGTAGAGGTCGTGGTAATTGTCGGCCATTTTGAAGGATCAGGTGTAAAAGTGATATTCTTCGAAGTGGTGGACGAAGAGCACACACAATGTCAACTGGGTTCAGTGTGATTGTGTCTTGAAAGTCGACGTTCCTGAAGAAATAAACAGCATTCACTCTATATGCACCTGCAATGATTCTTCTGACCATGACGTCTTGTCGGTCAAGGGCGTCGCGGGCCGCTGTGGTTTTTCTCATCTCATCCATTGTTGTGTCACGTTTCGACAGCTTCTCCATCTCCTCATCAAAGAAGATATTTTGCAAGTCATCATATGTGTAGCCACATTCAAGGGTATATATGAGAAGTCTTTTGAGTACCACTGCCCCATAGTATGCATTGACGAATCCCTCTTCTCCGATGTCGTCCTTTTGATTTGGTCGGCCGATCTCTTTGTAGAGCTCTTTCATCTGTTGTGCAGTTGGTTCAATGAGTTCACCATTTTCATCCTCGCCCAGGTAAGGTGTTCTTGAGTCCAGGTCCATCCTGAATTTCTGGTTCTGTTGAAAATGTTTCCATGCCGTCTCGATGTCTCCACAGAAGTTCCGTTGGAATAGTCTGTAGATCCTGACGATATGTAATCCAATCTGCAACAGGAGGATTTTGATGAGCTCCGGCTGAGCATCTCCAATTGTGCAAGGCTCGATTGGTAGGACCTTTGATCCAAACTCAATCCGCTTTATCCACTTGGGGTACTCAATCACTGCATCACGAGCTTCTCCAGCCTCGTACTCTTCAATGTTGATTTCATCGACCGCTATCTCTTCATCATCGTTCTCGTCGGTCGGTTTTCCTTCCTGATTGAGAAATTTGTCGACCTCATCTTGTTCTCTGAAGTCTCTCTTCTCATCATTGATGTCGCCCTTCTTCGAGGCTTGATCATCATTTTCTTCTTCTGGTTGAGGTTCTTGTTCTGGACTCTTCATGGTGACGTCATCATCATCTGGCATCGCCTCGTCGTCATCACCATCACCTGTCAAATGGATCTTCACCTCCTCCCATGCTTTCTTGACATGGTCTTTGAGATCTTCTTCTCGATGATGTGATTCGGCACTTGGTACTGTAGCCACGGTGATCTTGATTCGTTTCCTCCATCCATGACTCACCAAAAATCCTTTGCACATCACACAAATCGATAGTGGTGCAGGGGTCTCCATCAGACATGCGGGGCATAGTCGATGGTCCTCTTTGCTGGGATGATGAGTAACTGCCAACAATGATATTGCATCATTCCAATCCGGATGTCTAGGGAACAATCTGTGAGTATGACTGAAGTGACCGGTCCTGATATCGACAAGTTTTCGAAGTTCGTCCAGATCGGGTGATGATTCTTCAGGCACAATGTTCCCAATGAGCTTGTCAAATCGTTCAATGGTGGCCACCCTCTTCGCTCCTTGCACAGAAAGGACAAGTTGATCTCTTCCCTTTGTGATCATGAGACGGTAGTAGTCCTTTTCTCTCCAGTCGTAATACCAAACTGCATCGAATGATTCGAATGGAATTGTTTCTTGGACCAAAATGTGTCCGTCTGCTGATAATCTAGGGGAGAACTTGGCGATGGAATCGTACGTGATGTAGATGTAGACAAGATCAGTTTGATCAATCTTCCTGAATCTCAGCACCATCTGACTTCTCACGTCCCACGGTGCGAATGGCACGAAGAACGTATTGATGCGGTCGCCTCCTCCTCCGGGACGTAGTCCTTCTCTGAAGATTTGAGCGATGTTGTCAAAAGTGGTGCAATGAAATCCTCCTCCAAGAGTGTATCCTACTCCGGGGTTCATCTGATATGAAGTCTTCTTGTCTTCGATGTGCACACCGCCTTGAACTCTTGAATGTGCCATAGGGGCACGGATTGCCACCGGCCAAAGCCAAATCTCTCGATCTGCTGTGCCGATCTCCAACCTCAGTGTTTGTCGATCAAGTCTCGAGGTCAATCCATCATTGAAGTTGCTCATGACATATTCCAACTCACCTTTTGTGACCTTGAGTCCTAGCACTTGGGCTCGGATTCTCTTCGTTTGCTTGTACTCAGTGAAGATCACTCTCTGGAAATTGTTCCACCTCTCAACAAGTATCGGGTAGTTGACATGGGTCGTTCCAGCCAATGTATGTTGGTCTCTCCAAATGGCATCGTACTTCAAGATCGACTCAACATTGACCCAACCTGCCTCATCGCATGGTAGTCCACGGTGATTTCGATTGTCTTTGACGCAACCCACGGAGTGGCGTAGCGCTGCATTGAATCTTTTCGACAATTCGACTATCCATTGCGGATTTTCCCACTTGTTGCCCATCCACTCATTCTCACCATATCGATGTACCTTACACCAGCCCATTCCAAGATATTCTTCTCCATTGATGCGAGCAAGTTGAAGTGTACCAATGTTGTGGCCATGTGTGAATGGTTGGATGTACTTGAAGTTCCAGTTGTTTCCATGTTGTTTTCTTTCTTCAGTAAGCCATTTCATGTATTCATCATGATCAATGTGTTTCCAAGCGTTCAGCTCCTCAATGGTCGGCAAAACAGGCGGGGATTCCTCAGCCGCACGCTCAATCAGCATATCAAGCTCATGACGATTCTTCACACCTCGGCTAATTGGGTTGACTTCGACACCATTCACTAAGTATTGTCCCCCTTCTTCACGATCACCAATGTCGTACATAAAGGCTGACTGACTATAGAAGCACTTTGTCACTTCCTCTTTCTCAGTGAATCTGGTTCTTCCCCAACGCTTTCCTCGTGGCATGACGTTCTTTGGGAGCTTGTCTTTTCTGCCTCTGGTTGCAGCTTTG